CTCAGAGAAGGAAACAAAACTTCCACGTTGCAAAAACTTCACCAATTGAGTCTGTCTCTTCATCACCACCTAGAATCTCTAACAATGACAAGGTCTCCCATGACAAAATACTGGGAAAGGATGGATCTACATGTGCTAATACAAACAACATGCAGAGCTTGGTAAAGAATACTGAAGTTATAGTAGATAATGTTCGGCAGGCCAGGAAGTCACATGAGAGCATGCTTGCTAGTGAACCTGTTATGAATGGTTTTTCACAAGGGAACTCTGATAAAGATAATGAATTGCCTCAGTTAACTCAAGGCCATGCTTCCAATGGGATTATTTCGGGAAGGAGTTTGGATGATGATCTGCAGCATGCATCTGGGAGGAAAGATTCTTCTTTGAAAAGCTCCAATGCAGCTAGAAGTCATAACCACTTGCATTATGCTAATAAAAATAACTTGCTTACTGATGGCTCTTCAATCCAACATAGGATGGCAGTCTTGGATACTAAAGGTGATTCCATGGTACATGAAAACAAGAGAAGTGTTACTTCTCTCCAAGACAGAAATGGATCAACTCATTACCCACCAGATGGAAATCCCCAATCAGAGGTGTCATTCGGAAAAGAAAAGTCACATCCCAAGAGCAACAAGCATGATATGCAGAATTCCAAAGCCCAAATGCTCCCCTCACCTCTGAAAGAAAGTAAAGTGGAATCCCACTCCGCTCCATTAAGATCTAATGCATCAAAATTGACAGCACAGTTAAAGCGGGGCAATGTTGAAAATGGAGGGCAACATGGCATTACAAAACAAGCAATTTCTAATCCTGCAGACACTTCCAGTCCAGTTAGGAAGGATAATAACTCAACTGGATATGCTCTCAAAGAAGCCCGGGATTTGAAGCACAAGGCTAATCGTTTAAAGGTTCCTCACCCTAGCTCTCTTTGCTGTAATGCACATGAAAGTGAGTTTTTTATATGTAAGGTTCTCACATACTTGTCTGCAGGAAGAAGGAAAAGAACAAGAAAGTACAAGACTTTATTTTGAGTCAGCCTTAAAATATTTGCATGTTGCGTCAACCTTGGAACCTCCTCCAAGCATTGATGGCTTTAAACAATGTGATGCAGCTCAGAACTTGTATTCCGATACCGCAAAACTCTGCAAGTAAGTTATTGTAGTACTAATATATATGTTGGATTACTTGTACTTGATTGACCATAGTTTTCTTCCTCAAATAATTGGCACTTTCCTGATCCAAGGTGGAATTCCACATATATCCATCATTCTCCACGCTGTGCGTCGATTTTTGTGCTTGTAAAATCATTAAAGGGTATTTTGGTCCTATATTTATAGCATATCTTTCCCAGTATTCATTATTCAGTCGAAAGTGCCTAATATTTAAAAAGCATACGAGTATTGTCCTTTTCCTTCTACCAGCCCAATTTATTGCTATGGTGAAACGTGGTACAAATTGAGAGGGTGCATGATGATTGGATGATGACATCATTTCTGTGACTCTGCAATCTGCCATGCATAATATTTTTTAGTGACAGTTCTCTCCTGGGCTATGTTTTTTTTTATCTTCTTCATGAATACTATGCATGAAGAACCAGAATGTACTGCAAATAAATTCCTGGTAGTTCCCTCATGTTGTAAGTTGGAAGTTTGAAGAAGAGGCTCTTTCGTAATAGAATACCGATCGACGCTAGCGAGGAGAGTGGAATCACCCGTTGGCCTGAACGGAGAGTGGAATCACCCGTTGGCCTGAACTTTTCTTCTGCATGGATCGACTTAGATGGGGTAGTCTAATAACTTGGTTCGCCTGACGGCTGACGCTGTTCACAGCACAATTTATGTAAACAGCTGTTGTACTCAATTCCTCATGTTTCATCACTATAATTAATTGATTCATGTGATTGTCCAGCTTTGTTGGTCATGCATATGAGAAGTCCAAGAAAATGGCCGCTGCTGCTTTAGCATACAAGTGTGTCGAAGTAGCCTATCTCAAGGCTGCATACTATAAATACCCTACTGCAAGCAAGGATCGCCAGATGTTGCAGGCAATTGTACAGAATCCACCAGGTACTTGACCTTAAACACTAAAATTTAATTACATACATTAGTCTAGCTTGCATTTTAGAATTTCAAATACTTTTAGTGGTCATAATGATATTCTTTTTTTGGAAGTGTGAGCTCATCATACTAGTAATATGTGCCGTGCCCAAAAATTCAGAATACCATATCCAATCCCCTGCCCTTGCTGATATTTCACTGTTACATTCATACTTTATATAACTGCATCTTTTCCAGGCATCATCATATTGTTACTGTTTCTTCTCTGGATTGTGTTTGTTGCTTTGCTATTTACTTCTGTTTATTACCTTCGTAGGTGAATCACCATCATCTTCTGCCTCAGACATTGATAATTTAAATAACAATGGATTATCTAAGGGCCCTTCAAGCAAGGATGCTAATTCGCCCCAAGTTACCGGGAACAATTTGTTACTAGCTGCTCGCAATCAACCACACTTGACAAGGTTACTAGCCTATGTAAGTTCTTCATACATTGATATATATAGGCAGTTCAAAAAGTTCTGGTTTCGAGAGTGGTTTATCTTTTATAGTGTATCGGATGAGTTCACAATCTGTTATCTATGTAATAACAAATTAAACTGTTCACTATGATGGTATTAGCAAATTGCACCCAACAAATCTAGATTGGATATCATAAACGAGCATATTGGATAGATTTTGGCAAGTCATAATTAAGTTTGGTTTGAAGGTGACTTGTGAAATGTTTGTCGGGAAGATCTTTTTTCTGTCTTAAGTACTATACTTGTTTTACATCCTGTTGTGATGTTGCTCATGAATTCTGCTGCATAACCTTATTGCTACATATTCAAATGGCAATGCCGTTATGTGGAGTCATATGGTGATGAACCAACTCATTCCATTCCCCAAAACCAAAAAGGGTTAGGTTTGGGATTAGAATCTAATGACCCTAAAACCCTGAAGTGAACACCTCATAACTTGATAGTACGTTACTTACAGTGCGTCATGCCATCGATTACAGTTATGATCTGATGACTCTGTTTATATTCTTAGACAAATGATGTCAACTGTGCCTTCGATGCAACTCGGAAATCACAGATGGCAATTGCTTCGGCTGCTAGCAACCAAGAAAATGGAATAGATGGTCTTTCTTCAGTAAAAACAGTTTTGGATTTTAACTTCCAAAGTGTGAATGATCTACTAAGGCTCGTGCGGCTTTCAATGGAGTCTATCAGCTGCTGACATGTTCAGAATCCAGGAAAATGACATCCCTTTACAAGGTGCTGTTGGATGTGCATTCCATATTTGAGTAATGTCCCAGACTTGCCAGTAGCATTTGGTTGAAAAGTTCAACTGTGCGAAATTCATAGGTCTTCTCATTTAAGTGTGCTGGTTAATTTGTACATGAAGTGTTTGTCTTATCTTCTATTCCGGAGGCCTGTTTTTACCCATTGCTAGCATCTAGTTGGATGGTTTTATCCATGAGGGAGGTTGCTGAAGATGTGCTTTGCAGATTGCACTGATCAACTTGATTTTGGGCAAGACTGCCTAGTTACAGACTGCACTTGATAAGCTTATACACAATGCTACTGGACAGCAGCTCCTTTGTAGATAATCTTCTTTCCTCCATGCTGTAAATGATGTATTTTCGTCATGGAGTTGACTTATGGTTGAATAGTATCATATGTTCCTTTGAGAAGGGCAAAATGGTGGTTTCCACTTAGCAATTTTGATGGTACGTTTCAGTTACAAATAAATTAAGTTCAACACACTCTCCGCACCACTAATGCTTATGTAATGTTTGATTCTTTAGCAGGTCAGAGGACAAAAGTGTTAATTAGTGTGCTAACCAAGAAATCAGCCAGTGGTGTCTCTTTTTCAGTGCCACTTCTGGATAAAGTTCAAGCAGGTACCTTCACTGATACTATAGTACCTTAGTACATTCAAACCTTGCACCTCATGATAGTGCGGAATAAAATGACTTCTTGAATGAATTGGTCTCATGCTATTCTGCAAAGGTGAAAATGACCTCTTCATTGATACCATCCTAGGTTGTATAGGTACCCTGTGACTTTTGCAGTAAATTAGACTATATGCTTAAGTGCTGAAATAAGAACATTGTAATTCCTTGGTTCTTCTTTCTGTAATGCTTTCTACTCTGTAGGGTTATACTATAATTTACATATGCATGCACAGCACCACCACTGTAAGGTTCTTCGACCCAAAACTAGAACTGAAAGTTAGGAACTTCCACTATACAGATGGCAGCACCTGAACTGAAAATACATTGATTACCATTTTCCACTCCTTACTCCTAACAGTAATCAGTGATGTTTGTCTTTTCTTTTTCAGATTTCAAACAAGAAATCACTTGGACCATCACATGTGTATGAACAATGTACAAAGATTTTCATGTACAATAGGCTAACTCGTTCCTTGACTATCAGTACGACGACTATAACCAGCGCGTGTACATGTATATATACCCGAATGGTCGAAGCGTTTGTCTTGCGTGCTGGTACACTCGTGACACCAATGTACTTTTAGTCCACATTTTTCTTCTGGCAAATTTTGTTAGTTTCACATTAGTCGTTGAGATGTGATAGAACTTATCTGGACTGAGAATGTGTTGCAGAATGCAAAATAAGCTCTGTATTCTGTACTGTTTGTATCGCGAATCGCATCTTCAGTTCAGTTGAGTAAAGTGATGCTAATTTTAGTTATGCAATTATCCTTTGTTTATTCTGCAAATGAATACTGTGGCGGCAACGTAAATCTGCATGTCCACGAAATCATGCTAAAAACTACTCACATGGCATTCTATATTTAAAAAATGTGCCTGCTCGATCGTATGCTGCAATGCAAATGTGTGTGTGTGTGTGTGTGTGTTTTTTTTTTTTTGGTGGGGGGGGGGGGGTTACAATTTCGATCAGAAAAATCATCATATGCTGCATTGCAAACTTGTTAAATTTGGGGTTGGTTTCGATCAGAAAAATCGTAAAAAGACAGTTATGCACCACAGTTCGGTTTCGATTAATTTTATACTGATGTATCAGATCAAGATCATTTCCATTTGCGAACAATTCTTCAGAAATTTCATCTCCCAGCCTAACACATCGGCCACTGCGTATATCTCTTCTGTACGCGGATGCGTCGTGTCGTCCGACGAAAACTTGTGCAAATGCAGTGCCTCGCCAGCGCCGGCGTCCACCCAGCTGAACCCGATCTCCTTCTTGACGCCTCTGTCCCTCATCTTCCTCCTCACCTTGGCGACGCCGTCCCAGTCGCCCACGTCGGCGTAGATGTTCGACAGGAGGACGTACGCGCCGGACTCCGTCGGCTCCTTCTCCGTCAAAATTCTGGCGATCCTCTCGCCGATCTCCGCGTCGCCATGGATTCTGCAGGCTCCGAGCAAGCTCTGCAGCGCCGACACGCTCGGCCCCGCCGGCATCCGCATCATGAGCTCCTCAGCCTCCGCCAGCCTCCCTGCCCGGCCTAACATGTCGACGACGCAGGAGTAGTGCTCCGGCCACAGCTCGACGCCGCGATCGGCAGCCATCGAGTCGAAGATGTCCCTGCCGGCGTCGACCATCCCGCCGTACCGGCAGGCCGTGAGGACGGCGAGGAGCACGACGCCGTCCGGTGCGACGCCGGAGCGCGCCATGTCGCCGAAGAGGCTCATGACGGCGCCGTAGCTCCCGTGCCTGGCGTTCGCCGAGATGATCGCCGTCCAGGCGATGAGGCTCCGCTGCTCCGTCTCGTGGAACGCCTTCCGGGACTCTTCCAAGTTGCCACGCTTCGCGTACATGTCGATGAGGGCGCCGGCGACGTACTCGCTGTCGCCGAAGCCCATGCTGAGAGCCCTGGAGTGGTACATCTGGCCGTACGCCATGGACACCGTCTCCACCGCGGTCACCGCGCTGAGGACGCTCGCGAACGTGGTCTCGTTGGGTGTCAGGCACCTGGCCATGGACGAGAAGAGCTCGAGGGCGTCGTTGCACCGGCCGTTCTGCGCGTAGCCCGAGATCACAGCGTTCCACGCGATGATCTCCCGGCGAGGCATGAGGTCGAACACCATCCTCGCGTCGTCCATGCGACGCGCCTTGGCATACATGGTGATGAGGCTGTTCGACGCCGCCGCTTCGCCGGACACGGCGGCCTTGAGGCACGCCGCGTGGACCATCTGCGCTCCCCTCGCCGGACAGTCCGCTGGCAGCGCCGACATCAGCGCCACGAAGGTGACCTCGTTCGGCGGCACGCCGTCTCGCCGCATGCCATTGAACAGCGTGAGGGCGTCCTCGCCGTCCATGGAGATGGCCGTGGTCCATGACACGACGTCGCGCTCGCTCATGGCGTCGAACAGCCTCCGGGCGCTGCCGGGAGCGCCGCACTTGTAGTACATCGCGACGAGCACGTTGCCGATGGAGACGTATCCCTCGACGCCCAGCTTCACCGCAAAGCCATGGACTTGCCGGCCGAGCTCGAGCTTCCCCTCGCCGCCACATGCCGGGATCACGCTGCAGACCGATATCCGGTCAGGCTGGACGTCGCCGTCCCTGAGCATCCGGAGGAACACGCCAATCACCTCGGCCGGGCAGTCGCCGTCTTGCGCGAGCCCGCAGATCAACGCGTTCCATGAGACGAGGTCCCTCGCCGGCATATCGTCGAACACACTCCTGGCCTCCCCGAGAGACCCTCCACGTGAGTACGCAGTGACGAGCGCGTTGCCGACGAACACATCAGCCGCGAGCCCGGACCGCCAAGCCAGCGCGTGCAGCTGCCGCACGAGGAAGCCCTCCCCCCGGCCGGCGGCCAGCGAGAGCGCGACGGTGCACGTGACGGCGTCGGGCCGCACGGCGCCGGAGCGGAGCATCCACGACGCGAAGTCGAGCGCCTCGGCCGGGTCAGGGAACGCGGAGAGGATGGTGTTGTAGGAGCTGACATCCCTCGCCCGCGCCGCGGCGAACACCCCGACGGCGGAAGGGAACGACCCGGTCTTGGCGTAGCGGGCGGCGAGGGAGTTGGTCACGGCGGCGAAGCCGTGGAGGCCGGTGGTTACGGCGACGGCGTGGAGCGCCGGGAGGGAGGCCGGGTCGGACGCCCTGACGGCGGCCGAGAAGGCGATGGGGTTGACGCGGCGGTGGCGGGCGAGCGACGGGTGGGGAATTCCGTCGAACGGGTGGTGGGCGGCAGCGGTGGAGAGCGTGCGGATCCGCAGCCGCCGTAGTGGCATCTAGTGTAGTTTTTCAACCACGGATTTGAGATCCTCTCACTAAAGTCACATGATTTTGAGTCACTGACATGTGGGCCCTCTTTGTTATGGACCCACATGCCAGAGACTCTAGTAGGATAAAAGCCCAAGGGCCAAACCCCTCCTCTTCTTCCTCCGGTCTCTCGCTCCTCGCGCAAATCTCCGGTCGCTGCAGCCCTTCGGCCATGGCGGCGTCGTCCGTGCTGCAGCCTGCGGCGGCCGCCGCCGCGTGGCCGCGCTTCCTCCCCTCTCCTCGCCGGAGCGCCGCCCAGGTACTAAGGTTTCCTTCACTTCTTAGGCCTGCAACTCCTGTTTCGTGGCGTGGGGCAGGCAATTCGTCGAATGGCTTGTGGTTGGGAAGAAATCAAGAAATTGCAGCGCAGCGACAGTAAAATTCTAGGGTAATTGGCTAAGGTAGTGAAGATGCTACATTCTCGGGAACGAATCACCTGACCGGGCTGAAATCTGTGTAGTGTAGTTCAAGGCGTACTGTAACTTTGTAGGTGCAGTTTGTGGTGAAAATTTTCCATCTCGTGTGTTGTTTGAAACATGAAACTAGCTCAGTCTTAGCTTGAAACAACAACAGAACTTACTTCTTGGTGTAGAAACGTTAGGTGTGTTGTGACTACTGACTAGTTTCCCATAATTCTGTCCCCCTTTTTGGCCTTATCCAGTTGCAATGTAATCTTATCAGATGTTTCTTTCAGGAAGAGTTGCTTGATACACTAACAGTTCAACACAATATCCTTTTGATGTTTATGTTCCTTGTATACAATTACTCTGAATGAGAAACCCCCCATTTCATATTATAAGATGCTTTGATTTTTTTCTAAGTTAAACTTCCATAAGTTCAATCAAGTTAAAGAAAAATATAGCAACTCTTATAACACGAAATTAATTCTATTAAATCTAACATCGAATATATTTTGATTATATGTTTGCTTGATGTTACCATGTTTCTATGCTTTTCTATAAATTTGATCAAATTTAAAGAAGTTTGATTTAGAAAAAAAAATCAAGTGTCTTGTAATATGAAAATGGAGGGAGTAACACCCTATTAGCATCCCTACAACAAATCACTGATTCCTGAACTATTTTGTGGTTAAATTAAAGGCTTCTGAATAGTTCTTATTTATATCCGAACTCTCAGATGTGTCATTTATTCTTGGAACAGACATATCAAGTTCTTTCCATGCACAAGTTTGAGTGGAAGCGCCCTTTCAGCGGTAGGTACCAACATTCGCTGCAATTTACAACATTCAGTGACAGGACTGGAGTTGTAAACTTGTAATTCAAACTTTGGTTTCACATCGTTGCCCTGAAGTGTTGAGATAAATTTTGTGACTGCATCTGCAGGTTCACACCGGTCCGGTATTCTTCTTGTTTGCAGAAGTTCAGGTTCCTCTGTAAAAGCAGCTACTTCAAGCAGACCCGAAGCTGTTTCCTCTTCTCATAACGATCAATCCAGCAAACATTTATTTGGTTCTGTTTCAGATGCTTATACCATTATCTCTGGCTATTGGATTGGCCCTGATATGGATGATGGCTGTGGTAATGTTGTGGCCATTCTCCAAAGAATTGTATGATACTGCATTTGCTGTTAAACCACATGAATTTTCTGGCGTTTGAAGATAATTTTTATATGCTAGATCATCCTCCACATTAAAGTATATCCATAACCTTTTCCAAACAATGCCTATTTGCCCGGCGAAAAAAATAATGCCTATTTCTGATCGTATTATTTCTTATATGAATCAATGTGCCACTGCAAATGGTTTAATCATGTGTCATTATTGGTATGTTTGCAAAATGTATTGTTAGATTCTATTCCAGTTGGCCTAAAAGTGCAGGCAGGCTTGTTTAAATAAGATCTGAGTGGGATAGAACTAGCAGAGTCTTTTGTTACAAGCTACTTGACACAAATTCACAGAATCACAGTGATATTTACATGGTACTATTATGAAAGATAATTAAGAAACGACTTGCCAAAGCAAGTCTTCTCGTCAACTTAGCATATAGACTAGTCACTGAAAGTGGGCCCACTCACCTCCTATATAGAGCAGTGTACACCTGGAGCTGGAGCTCAAGCTATAGCTCAGGTGACTGACAATGGCGTACAGGGCCTTGGAGGTGACGCTCATCTCGGCGAGGAATCTGAAGAAGGTGAACTTGATCACTCCCATGGAGGTGTACGCCGTCGTCTCCGTCTCCGGCAACCCGCTCGCCCGCCAGTGCACGCTCCCCGACCGCCACGGCGGCCGCAACCCGACGTGGAACGCCACGCTCCACCTCGCCGTCCCCGCCGCCGCGCCGGGCGCGTTCCTCCACGTCCTCCTCCGCACCGAGCGCGCCCTCGGCGACCGCGACGTCGGCGAGGTGTTCGTCCCCGTCGCCGACCTGCAGCTCGCCGCCGCCGCGCACTACCAGTACCTGGTCCACAAGGTGCAGAGCACCACCGAGCACTGCGGCGTGCTCAGCCTGTCGTACCGGCTAGGCCCCGTCGTCGTGCCGGCGCCGCCGCTGGCAGCGGACACCGGCGCTGTCCCGGCGTACCTGGTGGTGCCGTGCTACGCGAACGCGCCGCCGTACGTCTACCTGTCGCCGGCCAATCCTGCCCGCGGCGAGGCCGCGTCGGCGTCGCCGTCGCCGCCGCCGCGGCGCAAGAGGAGCGGTGACTTTGGGCAGTGGCTCGGCGGCGCCGTCCGGGGAATGTTGTCCGGCGAGGCCATGTCGCCGGACACGGCGGCCTACGACGCCGGGTACAAAACCCTGATCGGGGTGGCTGATGGCAGACGTGTCAAGTTCTAGCTAGTAGGAGTACTATTCCAGATTAGCGTGGCTTGAATAAAATGGAAAAGGTTTCTTATGTACTTTTTGCATGGCTGGGAGACTAACTTTTGTACGAGGAAGTATTGGGTGGAAACCGTGGTAGAAACTTAAAACTTGGAAACTAATGTTGGATCGAAAAATGGACGTCCGAGATTCGTCCACGTCATCATTAGTAAAAAAATTTACTACTTATGAATAAATCTATGAGTAAAATTTTTACTCGTGATGACGTGGTCGAATCTCGAACGTCTATTTTTCGATCCAATAGTAGTTTCTAACTTTCCACCATATATATGGTTTCCACTGTATATTTTTCCTCTTTTTACTAATCAGTAGCACGTTTTCTTTTCTTTCTTGGAATATTTATGCATTACTCGTCATTCAACAAACATACTCTGCATGAAAATTCATCGCCGATTTATTTAGGTCAGTTTGGACGCCTTAGGTGGACAAACGAGAATCGACAGTCCCTTGTTGATGCCGTTATTCCAAGGAGCGCTTCTGATAGTTGTGATTTTTTTTCTACTCTACCCATTCTAAAATATAATATTTTTATGTTATTTAGCAAATAATAAGGTTAGGTTAAAAAAATTCCTTTTCAAGTCATTTCATTTGTTAATGTTTTTTATATTTTGAATTGGTCAGACTTTCTTTCTAATTGGCTTCAAAAAAAATGATGAGAATCATGAGAATAAATGCATAAATGCTTATATTGTGATATACTCCATCCATCCAAAAATATATTAGTATCTAGCCTTTAAAATTGATCTTAAAATATAACAACTTCTCCATCTGCATTCTTTTCTCAGCCAATCATAATATTTCACCATTCAAATTTCCTACACACTTTCCCTCAAAAAAAAAATTTCCTACACACATCCTTTTCTCAACCAATCATAACATTCTCCAAATTTAATTTCATCAACTTTCTAAATACCCGTGTTCAACCCTAACAATCTCTAATTTTATGACAGAGATAGTAAAATTTGAATCCTAAAAACACCTATATTTTACTCCCTCCATTTTATATTGTAAGACTTTCTAATATTGCCTATATTTATATAGATGTTAATGAATCTAGATACATACATATACATATGAAAAGGAGGAAGTAGAACGGAAGGAGTAGTTGTTATAGTGTAAGTTGTTGCAAGATAATTTTGTATACTCATGTTGTCTAGTTTTTTTCCTCTAATTTTTTTTGGGGTACATGTATTTTTTTAGTTGATGCAAAGGGTGGGGAATTTTTATTCGACCATTAATGAAATATTTCATTGTCTAAAACAATTCAACAGATATCTCAAGATTTCAAACGTATTTTGAAGTTGTTTGATTCACGTATATCCACCGGTGTCAATGAGGTTTAAGTAAGGCTTGAGCAGGCTCCAGTGCCACTGAGTAATTAACTGACCAAAACCAATCAGGACACAGAAATCAACCTGCTAAACCACATCAGAAAAAATAACAAATTGAAGGAGACAGCAGAAACAACATGCATATGTTCTTGCCCGCTCAGATTATTTCCTCTGGATATAGATGAATCAATTCTGTCCATCTTGCATGAGACTATGTACAGTCATACAGATTATATCTGAAGAACTTGCTAATAATACCGCATCAACATTATTCACGATCGAGCATACGCACCCCGGCACTAATCTGCCGAAGACCGGTCAGGATTCGGTGGTTACCAATCTGTCTCGATCGGTTTGGCATTATTCCCAGTGCAGTGTTACCTTGAGCATCTATATCATTCTCATGTAATTAACTGGATTCAATAAAACTTCCTTCATCTTAAAAAACCTGGGGAATCTTCAGTTTTGCATCATTCATGATGTCATGATGATGATGACTCAATTGGAAGTTTGGAAAAAGTTTTAAGATAAACACAGTAATTCTTCCTGATTCTTTTACGGTTACTCTCTAGACTCCAGTGGATTTATTCTCAGGAGATATTTATATCTCTCATCATTCAAGAAAAGATATTTCTGACGAGAACATCTTCAGTTAAAACAAAAAGAAAAGCAGTTACACTTTCACTACTTCCTATAGCACATTCGAGCAGTAAAGCCGGTTAAGGAAAACAACTCCAAGTTAAAAGAAGGAAAAGCAGTTAGACTTTCACTTGCTACAGCACATTCAAAGGCTGAGTAGTAAAAAAGCCAAAAACTCGCATCTTCAGCAACACGCGAAAGAAGAATAAACCATTTAAAAACTCGAAAAATTGAGCCAGACAAAGATATGGTATCGATCCTCTGCTATGATAATCATCGAAAATTATGGACACGCAGCACTAGAAAGGCCAGTCCTGCAAGAACTATATCCTCAAGCTATCATCTATCCAGCATCAGATGCCTCCTGATCTATCCTACCATTATATTCAAACTTATTTGATAAAAAATCTAACTGCAGGAAACCTCCCCAATCAGGGAGAGTGATGATAATATGTAGGCTGCTCGATTATTCTCCATTGAATATTTGAATGGCTCAACAATCCGGAGGTGTTGCTTTGTGGATCTTTTAGGAAAAAGTTATTCCGATCTCTACACTAATTAGAAATACACATGTTGTTTAATTATAGACATTAGAATTCAAACCTAGTAAACTCTGCTTCACTAATAGTGCGCTTTTATGTACTTAAAATGGTCCGTTGAATTATAGATATTAGAATCTAAACCTGGTAAACTCCGCTACACTAATAGTGTGCTATGTACTTAAAAAGGTCCGATTGGTGGCTAATAAGCTCGCACCAATAAGTTATTACTCAAATTACGTAGTTACATGTATTTCTAATATAACTAGTAGTACTAGCAAATATGATACATTATCACTCACTAGTAATTACTATTATAGAGCATCTTAAATCTCATCTCATATAAATATGATACGCATAATTATATCAAATCATCATCCCGTTCACATCATTTACACAGTATCTCAACATATATCCATCTATTATTTCAATAATATTTGTCATAAATTGATCCATACATATCATAGTAAAGCGTGGGTATCATCTAATTACATTAGGTTGAACATTCATATTTCCAACGATACTCACTTGGAACATGTTTGAGGATGATTCTAGTTGTTATACCGTCTTTTAAAATCTTCAATCACCCTAAACAGTTTAGATTCTCCCGTAGATATCAAATTCTATAAATATGTAACTGTACAATCTAGAAAATAAGCTAGTAAAAACCAAAAGATAAGAAACCCTCTTTCTATATTCTCGTTAGCTGATTACCGATAAATTGCTTCTCAATATTTTTGACTCCTTAAGACATTTCTAACCCAATGACTAAGATAGTATTCATAGTATTAAATAAGCAGCCACCTAAAATGAAAAATGATGTGACAAGTGAATAAATGAGGAAAGAGAAGAAAACCATGTCTTACATGAGACAGAGTTTCTACACAACATCCAAGACATCATGTGATATAATTTGCATTAAATTTGAGTATGGAATAGTGGTATTTGCATTGAAAGAGTAGTGTCTAGTATTAGTTTCTTGATGATGTGAAGTTTATGAAAACTGTGTCTAGTGTCATGGGTTAGGAATGGCCTTATAACAAGTTTCTAGTTCCTGCTTTAACCACCAACTTTCTGCCAAACTTTGGTACTTTAGGTAGTTTTGGAATATTACAAGTGGGTCCCACTCCACCTCTTATACATACACCTGCATGCTGAAGCTGTGAAGCATACCATCACTCCACTCCATCACCTCCTGCTTGAGCAAGCAAGCAAGCAATCGCTGCAGCCAACTGTTCGACCAGAGCGAGTTAGCCATGGCGTACAGAGTTCTTGAGGTGACCCTCCACTCGGCGAGGGACCTGAAGAACGTCAACTTCATCTCGCGCATGGAGGTGTACGCGGTGGCGACCATCTCCGGCGACCCGCTGACGCGGCAGTGCACGCCGCCGGACCCCTACGGCGGCCGCCACCCGGCCTGGAACGCCACGCTCCGCTTCACCGTCCCGCCTACCGCCGCCTCCGCCGCCGGCTGCCTCCACGTCCTCCTCCGCGCCGAGCGCTCCCTCGGCGACCGCGACATCGGCGAGGTCATCATCCCGCTCGCCGACGTCCTCTCCGGCCCCTACGACCTCGGCGCCCGCCCGCCGCAGTTCGCCTCCTACCAGGTCCGCAAGCTCCATCGCTCCGAGACCCGCGGCGTGCTCCACCTCTCCTACCGCCTCGGCCCCGTCGTCGCGCCGCAGTCCGTCTTCGCCTACCCGGCGCCGCCGCCGCCGCCGCCGCAGCTGTTCGAGACCGCTCCTCCCTCGCCGCCTTACGTTCCCCCACCACCGGACGCCTACCTTCGTAAACCGTCGCCGCCGTCTCCACCACCCGCCAAGCTGTCGCCGCCGCCACCGCCACAGACACAGACACAGCCGCTGGCAAAGCCGCCGGCGCCGGCGACGCCGTCGCGAGCTGGCGGGCACGTGGCGGCGCTGGCGCCACCTGCGGTGGCGAAGGCCGACAGGCACGTGTCGACGCCGTCACCGGCGAAGGCCGACTGGCAGATGGTGGGCACGCCGACGGCGACGAAAGGGGCGAGCAAGCATGGCAGCCTGGAGTTCGAGCGGGGGCTCAACGCCGGGCTGGTCGGCGGCGCCATCGGCGGGATGCTGGTCGGCACCGAGATGGTGTCCGACGCGGCGTTCTACCACGCCGGCTACAGGGCCGGGCTCGCCGACCGCGACGGATGGGCCGTCTACTAAACCGTCGTCGCCATGGCTGCAGGTGCAGCGCCATGCATGGTCGGTCGGCGAAGATGCTTAGCTGAATAAAAGTCTCTGGTTTTCTTTTTTTGGCCTTTTGAGATTAGCTCAATAAAAGTCGATGAAATTTACTTTGGCTGAGAGTTTGTAACTCTTCCTCTTCGGCTAGTGAATTAATCGACTTGTTGTATATATTTTGTTACTGGTTATGATGTAATATATGGCCACGAAAATCCAAGAACATGACATGCTCATTAGAATGGCTTTTGAGAAATTAAAAAAAAGTTCGAAGAAAATCTTTGAAAAGGAGTCGGGAGTTCCTGCTTTTTTATTATGGAAGAAAGAAAAGAGGTAACCCAATTTGTTAAGAAAAATCGGACCCTAAAACTTTATCATTGTACGATTAACTTAAGAAAAACCGGCAAGAATCTCAATGAAGAAAATAACAGGACTACTCAAAGACGGCATACCACTATAACCTAGCACCCTTAGGACTAAAGTACCGATATAAGTCATCGTTGTCAAGCTTAAAGTATAGGAGTACAAGCAACTCCGACTTCCTATTACAAACAAAAGCCAACGATCACCTAATGTAGGGAGCGTGCCTAAACTCTAGGACCATGAAAGAAAAACCGCAACGACGCATCTAAGAAGGAAAATTTATGGTGCCGGTGACATCGCCTCTAAGGAAGAAAGGAGGGAAATATAAGGTGCCAATAGACGTCGATGTCAAAGGCTTTCATCCAATATTCTCCCTGCCAACTACACCATTCACAAGTGCCTCCTCTATATCAGGAGGAGTTAAATGTTATCATTACCAAGCTCATCAACCCACCCCCATCCATGGTCATGACCTAGTCTCGTTGGATTTGTGCACCGCTCCCGACTGGCTTTCTACAACATTATCGCTGCCACCAACCCGAGCACCAAGAGTCACTTAGAGCCAGGGAGGGGAGAGTCGAGGCCTTTGCCGTCGCCTTCCTTGCAACCACAGTGGTTTCCGGCACTCTGCTCCGGCGGTGGTGAGACCCCGGGCGGCAAAATTTAAATTTGAAACAGTAAATTCGATAAATTCGATCAAAATCGGTTCAAATTTCCTGGCTCCCAACCCCGATATCTCACTCCCCCGCCGTCGTTGTGAACCCTGCTCTGCTGTTCATCAGTTGTAGACAAATTCGGACTCTGTTCCAAAATCCCAGTCGATCAGTTAATCCGAGACAGTTCAGTATAGTGCCAGCAAAATCAGCTAAACTCCGTATAATAGCAATCGGAAACAGCAAAGCAAGCAAGCAAGCCCGAAATCGACATGCTTACCAACACGAGTTCGAGTCCACTTCCATGCACGAAGCTATATATACATACATGGATGCATCGAGCTTTTGTTGCCAAAACAACGGAACTTTCCATCGACGATCTTGCTGAGAATTGCTAGCTCGATCAGCTCCGATCGAGATCATGATGACGGCAACTACTCCCCCCGCCGTCGCCGTCGCCGGCGAGAGCCCGCCGCCGCTCGTGCACCTCGCATTTAACCTCTACTCCACCGGCTTCATCGCCGCGACGGCCACCGGCTTGCGCGTCTTCTCCTGCTTCAGCTCGCCGCTCAACAAGGTGTTCGCCAGGGACGTCGAGGTGTGCCCGGAGGACGACGGCGGCTGCGGTGGCGGCGGATGGAAGGTGGCGATCGCCGAGATGTTCAACGAGGCGTTCGCCGCCGTCGTGTTCCGGCGGGAGAAGGGCGGTGGCGGCGGCACCGTCGACAAGATCTGCTTCTGGAGCATCCCGAACGGGCGGATGTACTGCATGCACAAGACGCTGCCGTTCGACGGCGCCGTGCGCGGGGTCCGGCTGGTGGGGGAGTTCCTGCTCGTCGCCGGCGACGAGAGGGCGGCGCTGTACGAGCTGCCGCACGCCAGCGCGCCGCCGAAGAAGGTGAAGGTGGTGGAGACGGCGGCGAACCCGCTGGGGCTGGGCGCGGTGGTGCAGCCCGACGGGAACGCGCGGTTCGTGGCCGCCGCGCCGCAGAGGATGAAGGGGATGGTGCAGGTGCACCGCCTCGCCGAGGACCACGTCTACGTGCGCGCGCACTACTCCTCCCTCGCCGCCATCGCGCTCTCCGCCGACGGCCGCCTGCTCGCCACCGCCGGCTCCAAGGGCACGCTCGTCCGCATCTTCAGCACCAGCGACGGCAAGCTCCTCCAAGCGGTATGTGCATATATATGGCCCTGTGCTCTGCTTCGTTTTCAACTTTGGAATATACTCCCCCGTTCCAGATCATTAGTCCTTCCTTTTTTATTTTGGTCATAGTTAAACTGCTTTAAATTTATAAAAAAATAATAATATTTTTAACCTAAAATAAATATATTATAAAATTATATTTAATTATATATTTAATAAAATAAATTTGGTGTTGTAAATATTGCTATATTTATTTATTTATTATAAATTTGATTAAATTTGAAGTAGTTTGATTTTAATCAAAGTCGAAACGACTAATAATATGGAATAGTGGGAATATATCGTATATCTTTATTTTTTTCCCCTTAGATTGTTTATTTTTTCAAGTTTCATATTACAGTATTGAAATATGGTTTGCGAATAACTTTACAAGACCGTTTTGTCCTTTATTTTTGTTAGTTTTTTAAGTATGTGAAATTAATATGGCGTTTGCGAATATGAAAACTTTTTGGGTTAAATTTGCTTTAGTTAACTGATATTTAGTTTTAATGAGTATACTTACTAAATATGCCTTGTTTGCGAATATTTTGGTTTAGTTTTCGCTAGTTAGTTGATCGGTATGAAAATGGGATACTAACGATCTCTGTGATCGTTACATTTAATAACCAATATAAAATCTTAACCGGCCACCCACAACTAACTAAATACAAACAACCACGCGCGGCGGCGGCGCACGTCGCTCTGCTATGGCGTCCCAAAACCCAGGCGACGGCGGCGACGAGCAATCGCCACCGCCGGCTCCTCCGTTTCCGGCGCGCCCCACCTACCTATCCTTCAGCCACGACGCTTCTTGCTTGATCGCCGCCGACGAAGCCTCCGTCCAATGGCGCTGCTGCGAGACCTTCAAGCTGCGCGGGCTCTACGAGGAGAGCGGGGCCACCGCCGCCGCCGGTGACATGCGCGACCGGAATCAGTCGACGTGCGCCGTCGTCCGCCGCGCCGGCGCGGGGTTTGAGGTCAGGCGTTTCAGGCCGGGCTCCCTCAACTACAGCTCGCGCTACGACAGCGTGCGGATCGGCGGCGGCGACGACGACGACGACGTGCGGTCGGTGCACGTCCACGGCGACCGGACCGTCGTCGTGCACGCCGGCCGCGTGGACGTGTTCGGCCTCGACGACGGGAGGAGGAAGGCGGCGGTGCTGCAGCGGCGGGTGGAGACCGGGGACAACCGGGCCGGCGCCTGCGCCGTGTCGAGGGGGCCGCCCGGCTCGCCGTTCGCGTTCGCGTGCCCCGGCGTGAACGACGGCAACCTGCGCGTCGAGCGGTGGGTCGGGGGGTTCACGCCGCTGGTCATCGGCGCGCACCGCTGGCGTGTCGCGAGCGTCGCCATGTCGTGGGGTGCTAAGCTCGTCGCCACGGCCAGTGTCAAGGGCACCATTGTGCGTGTGTTTCGCGTCGCCGACGGCGAATTGCTCCAGGAGGTGAGATTGGCGGCGGCGCCGGCGGCTGAAGCAACTGCTAAAAAATCTAAACCCCACAACACTGAAACAAAATCTCTAACCAAATTTAGAGCATGCGTAAAATATTTTTCAATATTGTTTTTATGAATTTTAGGTTTTTTATTTATTACATTTGGTTTATTGTTTTGTATTATATGCGCAATATCGTTTAATTTAGCTATATTAGGATTGCATTTTTTTATGATACGGAGGGGTATGTTACTGTGTTTAATGTAAACACCTCTTTGTTTAGTCCATTTCTTGTATTACTATACTATAATTTTTTACATTTTATTGTTCACCAAGTTTTTCTTATTGTTTATATATTACATGCACAATATCATTTTATTTGGTAACAAATATCATAATGTTAAAAGATGCTTTTCATCCATTTCTAGATGAAAAGAGGCTTCGATAGAGCTGATATCTACAGTATTGTCTTCTCCCCCGATTCAGAGTGGCTTGCTGTCTCGAGTGATAAAGGAACCGTACATGTTTTTCATATCAATGTTTGTTCGCCATCTTCCTCCAAAACTGGTTGCCAAGATACAACTCAATCATATGAATCATATGGTGCAAAAGCAATGAAAAAATATGTTTCTTCTATAAAAGGTAATTTTAATTTTGAAACTTGTTTGTTAGCTTTACTTATCGTAAAAGGTAAATTGTATTTTGAAATTTTTGTGTATTATTTTATTTCTGACTCATTGATGATTTTAATATGCTTTCAGATTTACTTACATTAGGATATTTCGATCCAGAAAGGTCGGTAGCTCAATTCCATCTATGTGATAATGTAAAATACCTTGTCGCATTTGGTACAAGACCAAATAAAAATATTGTTCTTATAATCGGTATGGATGGAAGGTGAGTTAAATTATGATAATATTTTCTCAACTTTTTCTTTCTTAGTTTAGATGAAAAAAAATCTGACCTCTAATGTTTGTGCAGTTTTTACCGGTGTCAGTTTGATCCAGTAAACGGTGGAGAAATGAAACAGCTTGAGTACACGAATTTTTTAAATATGTAGGGATGATGATCTGTTCAAAATCAGAATATGTATTGATATTATCATAGTTGACAGAGAAGTTATCATTTTTTTCACTTGTCTTATTTCGATTTGTAGTTAAAAGATATTTTTGCCTTCATAGATTTGATTTATTTGTGTATATAGTGTCATCGTATTATTCTCTTTATAGTGTAGTGACACGATAATATACAATAATACTTAGCACACTTGAATCAAACTTAATTCTCTTAAACTGATTGATTTAATTTTAGTATATATAAGTTCTATTTAAGTTAAAAAAATGATATTTTGAGAATAGAAGAATACTGGGATAACTATGAAACATGTAACATGTAGCTTGAACTATGATGTTCTTATTATTACCACTCTCTTCCTCGGGCTTGTTTGTTTGGATATTATTAGTGTATGGCGTCGTGATAGCGGGCTATTAAAACGTTGACACATGTCAAATCTAGCTCCGAAAGACAAGCAAACAGTCGATTCGCGACGGTTGCCGAGAAAGCGACGATCTATCAAGCGCAACGCCACGCCTATCAATCCTAAATGGCTACGAAACACAAATATCCCCTTTGATGTGTGCTTGTGTACGTATATGTATGCACAATAATGTTAAACGTGAAAAACGTAAATAAATGTTTGTGTTGTACTATGTATCTTCCTAACAACCAGTCGAGTGCAAGTGTGCAACAACCAAGGGGTCATTATTACTGTAGATTAATAATAACCGTTCCTATAACAAGATTCGACACGAAAGTGTTCCTCTAAAAAAATCGACACGAAAGAGATCTATAATAACCAAAAAAAAATAGTAATATTAATTGGCGCCCGCCTCCTAATTTTGCTGGTAAAAAAAATATAAAAATGTTTTTTTCGATTACATGGCAGACGCAGATGCGTGCGCACCATTATGCACGTGACACCACACTCGGATCCTACCGATTAAATATGTGGTTTTATGATACTCCATCTTAAATATGTAGTTCTGGGATAAATTTAGTGGTTAATTTGTAGTTTTATGAAACATCACCTTAAATCTATAGTTTTGTGATAATTTAGCTAAAATATTATGAAATTTAATCAAAACTTTAACACGGCCAATCAAATAACTAAAAATTTTGTTCATCAACAACAATAAGCATGTGCTCTTAAAAATATAGGCGTACCAATAGATACACTGATTTTCTGGTAGGATAAAAGGGATGGGAGATGATTTTCTGGTAGGATAAAAGGGATGGGAGATTGAGATATAGGAAAATGGATGAAGGGTTAAGATGTACTACACCGAGGTTAGAAGAATGAGTAAGATTAAAAGATACCCTTTAGCCTTGGGATTTGGAATATTTTAATCCTATAGATAAAATTCCTAGAAAACCTGGAGAATTTCAATACTACAGGAGAAATTCATAAGGTCTTTGAACAAACATTTGAATTAAATCATTTCCTTTATAAGTATTCCTATAAAATAGATAATTCCATATAGATTACGGAGAAAAAAATATCTCATGTTTTTTTTTCTTCCTGCAAACTTTAAATCATTTTTTTGAACATTCAATATATTGAACATTAAAAGCACAAAACGTGCACTGGAGATACATGATTGTTTTTCCAAAGAGCAGCTTGTAAGAGTTGCTTTGTAGGATAAGTATTGTCATTACAAGTATGACTAATATTTTGATAATTCAGCACTTCAGATTCAACTTTAAATCGTTGCGTTCCTCATTTGTGTCAAGTAGAAGTTTCCTTTCTTTTTTTTTAATTTCGTTAGGAATTCAATAAGCATGTTATTCCATTTCTATATTTTCTTCTATTTTATGTTTTTTACATGCGTTTTACAGGGTTGCTTAGTGGGTGGGATGTTAACGATTCCGATATGGCACTACCGTTCCGAAACTTGGCGGTACGACGTATTTCACGTAATCCGGTGGAAAACCAATATATTCCTAACAAATTTCGTGAACTAAAATTTAAACACAAATCCCTAAACTTACTGATACATTAAAAAATCGATCAGCTTCAACGAAATTTCGGTTGAATCCATCGAAATCAGATCGAAATAGACAGACTCTGATCGACTGCCATTATCCAAACAAAGTCTGATCTAGGGCTGTCAACGAGCCGAGCTTGAGTGAGCTCGTCTGCCTAAGCTCGAGCTCGACACAAGCTCGAGCCGAGCTCGAGCCTATTCCACATTCGAGCTTTTAGGCAAGCTCGGTTCGAGCTCGTTCGAGCTCGAGCTCGGCTACCGAGCTCGGTCATAAGTAGTATAATATATATTTTAATGATAATCTTTTGATAAGTATAATTATTTTCTAGTTAATCACACTAATAAAAGAGTAGAAAATGATTAAAATAAATATATTATGCTAACACATGCTAATTTATTGTGTAAATAGATACTAATATATATATTTACCTATTAGTTTATTATATTAATAAGGTGAGCTCGAGCTCGTCTTGTTAAAGCTCGCGAGCTTTGCTCAGGCTCGGGTTCGGCTCGTTTGAAGCTCGAGCCGAGCTCGAATCAAGCCTAGAACGAGCCCAAGCTCGAGCTGCTCGCAAGCCGCGAGCTTTTTTTTTGACAGCCGATCGATTGCCATGCCATCCCACCCACCGTTCGTTGGTTTGATGATGATCCAACGGCCACCAATTAAAAACCTTGTAGCCAAAAAAGAAAAAAAATTATAAAAACCAAGAGGTCGCGCACCCAAAGCCCTAGTCCTCCTCCATCCCCAAACTCCGCCGCCGCCGCCGTCACCGCCGCTCGCCACCGCCGCGGCCGCCATGAGGGCGCTCGACGAGAAGGAGACGAAGATGGTGTTCGAGAAGCTGTTCAAGTTCACGGGGCCGAACCTGAAGCACCTCCTGGAGCGGCCGGCGGTGGAGGGGCCCGACCCGCAGGCCGGGCGCTACTGCCTCCGCCTCCACAAGAACCGCGTCTACTACGCCTCCGAGGCGCTCGTCCGCCGCGCCACCGCCGTCGCCCGCCCGCGCCTCGCCGGGGTCGGCACGCCCATCGGCAAGTTCACCCACGGCGGCGCGTTCCACCTCACCGTCCACGCCCTCGACCTCCTCGCCGCCCACGCCCGCCGCCGCGTCTGGCTCAAGCCCGACACCGAGCGCTCCTTCCTCTTCGGCAACTCCGTGCCCAAGTCCTCCCTCGCCCGCATCACAGAGAACACCAAGGCCAACGACGGCGTCGTCGTCATGTCCATGGCCGACGTCCCGCTCGGCTTCGGCATCGCCGCCAGGTCGGCGCAGGACTGCAGGAAGGCCGACACCAACGCCGTCGTTGTGCTGCACCAGTCTGACGCAGGCGAGTACCTCCGCCGGGAGGAGGAGCTCATGTGAGGTGAGGGCTGAGGCTTCATTTTACTCTTGTGGGCTGATTGTATCGTAGGACTTAGCTAACCTTACATATTATGCCTTCTTTTGTGTGCAACAATTTTGTCATTTGCTTAGCATGCGCCTAATTGGTTGAGATGAGAGGATTGTAGATGCCAAGTTTATTCAATTGCAATGCTAATTGGTTGCTAAATGAGGGGTGCTTGCCCCAGAATTTGTGAAATCAATCTTGCCAAATTCCGAGGTCGAATCGATGTTTTGATTTCAGAGTTAGCTAAATGAGGGAGTGTTTGGACCAGACTATGTGCTAAATTGTGTGAAATCAAGCATGCTGAATTCTGATATCGAACTGATGTTTCATTGGATACTTCATCGTTTTGACTGTATTTTGTGTATTAGTATTGATTACATTTGTCGATAAACCTTGTGAGTTACAGCTGAGTTGCATTGCACAGACATTGTCTTGAATTTGGTAATCCAAAGATCATCCTTATGCGGTTATGTCTGTCTTTGTAATGTGTTCACCTGCCTTCATTGATAACTTGGAACAGGAAGGATTCACTCTCCTCCTGTAGCATGCATTCTTCAGATTAGATATATGAAGTGGGTTAGAAAGACATGTTTTCAGTTTTCCATATAGGACATTGGGTGAGCTTGGCTGTAGGCAGCCTTTGGGCGATACTGTTTCTGTTATATACCTCTTTTTTTGTTCATCCATAGTGGATCGATGTAGAAGTTAGACTGATCATGTCTAATCTATGTTCAACATGATTGGTTGGATCACTATTTTCTTGGTTCAGAATGAATCAAAAGGTTTCTTTTTTACTATTCAGTGCTGATACGAGCTGTGCATAGCATTGGAGTCCCTACAGGCCTACACTGGGATTGTGATTGTAGGTTTATGGTTTGAATATTTTTTTGGGTCCACGATTTTATTTTAGTTGTAGCATGTGCAGACTATTTGGTTGGCCTGAATTGCTGTAACTACATAAAACAGTTGTCACCCACCATGATACTCTGCTTCTTTTGTTCCCAATAGCCACCAAAAAAAAAAAGAAAGATATGGTGGTACAACCAAACGACCCTATGACCTGACTGTGCAGTAAACTATTCTTTGACGCCACATAACTTCTTTGCTTGATTACATGGTCTGTAGAACAGTTTTTCGTACAAGAATGAAGACACTTGTAGCCATGTACATTCGGCTTAAAAGCGATTCCGATTGTGAATGCAATTCTGATTTTCCAGCTATCCTTCTTGCAGGTGTTGAGGTTTGACACATTGGCGTGACTGCAGGACTGAAGGATGCGCTTCCTCTTCATGCGATAATTCGAAGTTTTTCTACCACCAGTAAATGTGCGATTTTTACCTAGTTTTAAGATAGTGGAGGTCTGTTGTATCATCTATCTAGTAGAAAAATTTTGTTCCCAGGCTGTTCTATGGGCCTAAAAGTGTTCTGTTAAGCTGTAACTTATCGGTAAGCTACTGCATGACTGAATGCTGCAGGCCTGCAGTAACATTTGATCGTGATCAATGATATACTTGTCTTATGGACCCTACGGATAAACCCTGTCTGTCCAATCTTCATCAGTTTACGTTAAAACCTCTGGATTTGTACGCATTTTGGCTTTGATAAGCAGATAAAACTTACAAATAAGATATGTATTTCCTTTATAGGAATAATGTGCATTGAAAGAGAGACACAATGACTGAAGGGTAAATACTGATCGATCAGCCACAGAAAAAAAAAATCAGAACGTCACTTGGCGACACAATCGTAAGTTCGTAACGCAGCGTCCGGGCGGTTGAAACTTGAGAGGCAAAAGGGAAACTGGAGTTGCGATGTCATAAACCGAGTGAAAATCGTCGTCTTCTTGTTCACTGCAAGCACAATGTTCAGAGTGCACACATACACCATGAAAAGAACGGCCTCCCCATCTCTTGTTCACATCTTCAATATGCTCCTCTGCAGAGGCCAGTATGCAAGGGATTGGAAGCTAACGAGAAAATTTAACAGGTAATGTCAAGGATACGATCATATCTTGCTAAAAGACCGGAAAATTTTGACAGGACATACATACTTTATGTAGTAGTATAAAATTGCACATTCCTGAGAGGTTTCAGCACTGATGTACGGGTAGTGGTGTATAAGTGGGTAAGCCACGAACCCACTTTAGATTAAAATAATCAATTCGTGATTTATTTTCGTTTATAAATGGGTTTCACGGGTTAGCCTTAGCCCCTTGCACCCTGCCTACGGGTGTTAAATTAATTTTCAGTCTAACATGTAACAGCGATGAGGCTGGCCGCCAGCGGCGTCGGAGGACACGACGACAAGCACGGGAGGCAATACAGCGAAGATATCTCGAATCCTAGCCGCACGTTTTTAATCCTCCGCTCTAATCCTAGCCGCACGTTTTTAATCCAACGGGAGAGGGTTTGCGCGTTCGTGGTCTTCAATATCATGGGACATTTAATTATTTGCCAGTTTTAAGATGTGCCAATTAATGATTTGCCACTTGCTGTTTATGACATGTGGACCCTCACGTGACAAATCATTTAAAACCACTCATAAGAGTGACAAATAGTTAATTATTCCCAATATTGGAGTACGGTGGGGGTCGGAGTTTTATAAGCCCATGAAGCGGCCCAATATCTGAGCCCAATAACCTTGAAACCGGCGTCCTCAGGTTATCCTTGCACGGAAGAGAAGTCTGATGAGCCAATTAAAAAAAAAATCAGAACATGAGTCATTCACAAAGGAACACTACCCAAAAAAGGAAAAGAAAAGAAAAGAAAAGAAAGAGGATTGAGACATTCAGTATTTCAGTGCTAGCATGTTGTAATGCAGAGTCCAACAGAGAGTTATTTTTGCTGCTTTTTTATTGGCAGGAAAGAAATTAAACTTAATGGCGATTTCGCTTCTCAGAACAGAAGAAGGCATGACATGCAAATGCAAAGACTAGAGGATAACCAAACAACATGGATGCATTCAAGGCGCTAATATAGAGGAGAATCTGGGGGCCTTGGGGGTTCGGAGTTTTATTTTCCGACCTCCTTCATAAACAGTTGCATCTTGCTGCAAGAAATTCAGATAAGTCATTGATGACGTATACCATGCATTATTAAATTTCATATAATCATGTCTGAGAGGTTTCAGTAGTGAACTAGCGATGGATGTCAAATGCTGAGTCTCCCGTGCAACAGAGATGTTGGCTTTGCCTTCGCCGGTGTTTCAGTCCCTTTGCTGATCAGCCATAGAAAAAGTTCAGAACATGAACTCATTCACTTGGTTCTACGAGGATGAATTCAGACATTCAGTGCGTATACCGTGCCGTAAACTCGTAATGCGGCGTTGCGGTGCCCAACTTAGAACTGATTTTGCTATATCTGAAGTCTGCACATCTCACACATAGAAAAAAGGGGGGAAAAAATCTGTGGACGAGGGGGTTCTGGGTTTTGTTCTCCGACCCCTGTAAATTGTAAGACAGCCAACTAAACTCGCAGTAATCTGCTTATGTTGTGTTCGTATGTCTACTCTCTCAGATTTTTTTTGGTGTCTGCTTTCATTTCCTTGCACCGAAGACTGATCAGCAACTGAAAAACAAAACAAGTTGAGAATGTGATTTGGTTCTACTTGTATCAGAGGGGAACAAGGGGAAAGAAACAATCACCGTTGCTCCACTCTTACGTCAAAAAAAAAAACCGTTGCTCCACTCGAATGTGACGATTGATCATCATGCAACTGATGCCTCGCTTTTCAGAAGAAGGCACCACATGCAAAGAAGCTCTGAATCTCTCTGAACCTGTGAATGGGGTTCGGAGTTTTATTCTCCGAACCCCCTAAACAAATCGTTGGATTAAAACGTGCGGCGCCAAATCCTTCTCCGTCGCCGGCGGTGCCAATCTCACCTCTACTCCTGAAATACTGAAGGTGGCCACTCTCCCTGATTTTTATTTTGTTGCTGTTTGTTCTCAGTTTCATGCGCAGAAGACTGATAACCAACTAAAAAAATTACGGTGACTTTGTCAATCTCAAGGACTTGCCGATTCAGTTTTCGAAGATGCTCATAGGGGTAGGATTTATGTGCGTGCGTTCATAGGGGTAAGTGTGCGTGTGTTATAAGTGTCTGTATTATACTGTATAATTCTAAAAAGAAAAAAAAAATCAGAACATGACCTGGTAATTCTATCATAACTTCGCTGATAATTAATCAACTGCTCGAACTTCGCTGTTCAGAAGAAGGCATGAGTGCATGACATCAACTTCGCTGTTCAGAACTTCTATCAGTGATCGGTAGGAGGGGTTGGGGTTTGCTTCTCCCACCCCGAGCACGGATAGTCTTTAAGGGCCTGTTCAGATTGTAGTTAAAATAAACTTTATGCTAAAATTTTGGCAAGTGACAGGATTTCTTATATATTTATCAAATTTGGCAACAAACTAAATGTAGATATTTTTTTACAACTTTATTAAAAAAAAGTATGGATGAAAATAACATCAATCTGAACAGCCTCTAAGATTCTGAATGAGAGTTTTTTTTCTTCGGCCCCTAGTTTCCTTTAGAATATGCATTGAAAGCCACTTGGAAAGAAAGATGCATTATTATTACACAAAAATAGAACAAAAAATAATGCGTATCCGGGGAATCGAACCAACCAACCCCTAGTTTCCTTTAGAATATGCATTCAAAGGCACTTGCAAAAAAAAAGATGCATTATTATTACACTAAAATATGCATTGAAAGCCACTTGCAAAAAAAAAGAGATATAGCATAATTATTACACAAAAAAATAAAAAAAATGAATTATTATTACACAGTTTTTTTTCTTCGGCCCCTAGTTTCCTCTAGAATATGCATTGAAAGCCACTTGGAAAGAAAGATGCATTATTATTACACAAAAATAGAACAAAAAATAATGCGCATCCGGGGAATCGAACCAACCAACCCCTAGTTTCCTTTAGAATATGCATTCAAAGGCACTTGCAAAAAAAAAAGATGCATTATTATTACACTAAAATATGCATTGAAAGCCATTTGGAAAAAAAAAAGAGATATAGCATAATTATTAAACAAAAAAAATAAAAAAAATGAATTATAATTACACAAAACTATGCATTGAAAGCCACTTGCAAAAAAAAAGAGATAGCATAGTTATTACACAAAAATGGAACAAAAAATGCATAAATAGAGCAAAAATAATGCGCATCCGGGGAATCGAACCCCGGTCAGTACCGTGGGAGGGTACTATGATACCACTACACCAGATGCGCTTATTTGAACTGATAGATTAATCGTTTACATTTTAACAAAGACTGACAAGCTTTTGAAAAAAATGAACTAAGCCATCACAAATGATTTATAGGTAAAAGTTTTCTTACTTTGTGTTATTTGCCGTTTAAAATCTGATGTTAAAAATAGAATATAATGAAAAAACTTCAAAGTGACTTAAATTTTAAAATTTAGGATAATAGCTCGCTTCATGGCAGAATTTCTCCCCTTTTAATCGTCTCATTTCCCAAACCTCGCCGCAGGTAAGGGAGGGAAGGGAGCTGAACCGGCGGCGAAGACGGCGTCGCTGAGCCCGGAGAAGCGCCTCGCCTCGCCGCCGACGGCGAGCGTGCTCAGGTGTCGCAGCGGAAAAGGTCTGGCTCAATCCCTCCCCTCTGTCGCTCGCCCGCTATCTCGTTGTACGCGTTCTTCTGCCGGCCGCGCCTATGATGCGCCATGGTTTTGTTGCGTAGATCTGTGTTTTTAGGTGCTGATCTGCGGAGTTTAGTTTGGTATCGAGTGGATTGAGCTGTGATTTAGCCAAAACAGAAGGGATGCCACTCTGGATATGGAGTATTTAGTTGAGTAAAATGATCAAGCCTATAAATGTGTACCTTAACATGTACTTCCTCCGTTTCATATTATAAGACTTTCTAGTATTACCCACATTCATATATATATGTGTGTCTAGATTCATTAACATCTATATGAATATGGGCAATGCTAGAAAGTCTTATAACCTACGGAGGTAGTACTAGCCAATCATAGGGGTTCCAGGGAGGGTGGACTCCCACCAAGATTCTGTGGATGAGGAGGATGTAAAAAGCGTCCTGAGGCGCCTGCTGCACAGGTGCCGGGAGGCCAAGAAGATTGACAAGCATACTATGTATTATACCATGACATGTAAATGAAGGTCAAGGGTAACATGCTCAACAACAAGAGGGGACCTTATGGAGAGTATCCACAAGTGCAAGCTGAGAAAGCTAGGAAGAGAACTCTTTCCGACCAGTTTGAAGCCAAGCTTGCCAAGAGCATGGCAAGCCAAGAAAGGAAGATTTCCAGGAGGTAGGAGAGGTTGGCTCAGGTAAGATATTCATAAGGTTCTATGTGCCACTTGGAAAATTATTGTTTAAAAAAATGTTCCTCTTGTTGACCACTCACTAGAGCCATTTTATTCTAGGAAAGATCTGATAAGTGGATGCTTGTCGTCAATTATGTTGAGATCTGCAGCTATCATATGTATGGCATTTCGTACTCAGCAGCAGCCTATGCATTTGATTGTTGAAAGTGCATGCTTGCCAGCTGTCTTTTATTCAAACTACAGCCTTGTTTGCATTTTTGTTTAGATATTACTGATTTTTTCTTCTCTGAAGCTAGTTACATAGCTCAATTTTGTTTATAAAACTATATTATAACCTTTTGTTAAATATTTGCAATTTTCATCAAATAGGGACCGGTAACCTGCACCAGCTGCTGCAGCTCCAGCATATGTACCTTGAAACTGCTTTTTTCTCTTTCACGGCTATTAGTTCTTTGTTTGCTTATTATCTGCCAGTTTCCATTGTTTTAGGGTACCAAAAAAAGTGGAGGAGCCAAGAGTTGCTAAGAAGCTTTAGCTTGCTGGTCAGTTGGTACCATTGAGGATTAGCCTAATTTTGCAGCTCTGAACTGTTTTGCTCTAAATCAAATGTCCTGTTTCAGATACTTTGGATATCATATCGTGTTCGTTCTGTTGGATGTAGTAGACTAGTAGAGATGTTTACGCAGTCTCTTAAACACACTTGTGCTCGTAATTCTGCTGATGTTTATGAATCTAGTTTTGCAATACTAAACAATAAACAGTTTGTGGTTGTTTGGGCGCCTTCACACGGTTGGTATCTTCCAGCTCCGCTACCTGTTCTATCAAACGTCATCTTATATGCTTTGTTGATCAGAGGTATTTTTCACTTGTAGGTATTACTTGATTATCTCCCTTTAAAAGGTGAAAGCCGTCATGTTCGTGAATTTAGAATTTAACAATATTCGATTCCAAAACAACTAATAACCCATCCTATAACAGTTAAAAAAAATTAATATTAAAGACTTGAGGTAATACTTGAGAAGCTTCTGCGTTCCAGGATAAACGGGAAGGGAATTATACTGGGAATGAAGGGAATCGGACCTGGTAAGTGGTAAATACCGAGTGGGAGGGTATACTAGGATACCACCCACAACACCAGATGCTCAGCACAAAATTTTCCATCACTTGTTTAAGGTCGAACTATCTCTTAAATTTGCTTATACGTTTTCTTGCAAAATATATAAATACCTAAAGGGCAAACCTCTCATTTCAATGTCTCTCAATATTCGAATAGTTTACTGAGAGTGAAATAATATTTTTTCCAATATGGATTTTTCCGATGTAGCAGTGGAACAAAAAGAGATTTTTTTGGAGGATATGTGGTTAGGATCATGTCCTCTCCAAGATTAATGCTCTTTGCTGTATAATGTGACTCGAAAGAAACATTCTGCTATAACGAAGGTTATGAATACAATATCGCTTAATATTTCAACAATATCTCATTTCGGCGAGCGATTGTTTGATCTAAATTGCTTGGTTGGATCCTGGTAAAAAATTGCTTGAATGGAACAATTTAGTTGAACAACCGGCTATGGTTACACTATCAAAATGATGAAAAAGATTGTTTTGTATAGTCTCGTTCAATGAAAGTGGTAGTTGTTCTATACATTCTATGTACCCCACAGAAATGAACTATAATGTGAGGATTTTTATAAGGATTCGGGTTCCAAAAAAAATAAAAACTTTTATGTGTTTTCTCTTTAAAAGTAATTCTAACAAAAGAAAAATTGAGAGGAGATAGCTAACATTGTTTTTTTTAATCTGCAAGAGATAATTCAACATCTGTTTTGTAGAAAAAATTAACTATTTCCCACTCTAGGAATGTACCACTCTTCAAATATCATTATAGATGACGTAACATACATAGGCTTACGGACCTTTCGTTTCACTTATTCAGGGAATAAGCGAAGAGCTGCTTCTATAACCAATTCATATGTTTTTTTTTCAAATACTGACTGTTGTTATAAGAGTATAAGACCCACAGCTGATAATAAAAAGATAAATGACAATGGGACCCACAACCAATAGCCAGAAACATCCCTAGCTATCTCTAGGGGGAAAAAAACTTGAAAGACTAAAAGACCACAAAGATAATAAGTAAGGGTCTCATCTTTTCGCTTATGTTTATTCTTATCAGCCAAAATTTAAATTTTCGACCTTAATTTGGAGTTGATTTTGGTGTTTTTTTCATCGAAGTTTATTTTTCAGTTTTTGCTTTTAGATCACTAACAACACGTATATAAAAGTTTTATTTATAAATTATTTTTGGTTTGTAAATTAAAGAAAGATAGCTTGTGAGAGAACAGTAGCAACAGAGTTGTGAAGCACATGACATTGTCCTAATTGGACCGTCGGCCGGGCGGATCCTGGTGGCATTCCTGCAGGCTGAAGTTTCAACCAAAGAATATATACATTCAAAGATTGGCTTTTCTTGACGTACGACGGCCGGCCGGCCGGTAAGCACTACTTTTAGATTTAGATGAGGCTATGGACCAATGGAACATTTTGCATGCGCTCATGTCATCTCCGATCGATGGACGATGCCTGCGAGGAATTATAAGCGGATTAGCGTGGCGCGCGAGACGGCCGCGCGCGGCGCGCAAGTCGGCCAAGTTGCGGCGGCGGTGCGCGGACGCGGAGCCCGCGCCCCACGTGACGGCCCTCGTCTGACAGCGCCGCCGCGGGTTCCCTGTCCCCCCGCACCTCGCTCGATCGACTCATCGCCATTGCTCTCTCCCGCCGGCGATCGAGACCGCCCACCACAGCTTTTCATGCGTGGGCGCGCCCCCACAATATTCGTTAGTCCATGTCGCGCCGACCGCCTGTTGCCGGCCGGTGATAACGCGGAATATTATGTATCCGGCCCGTTCAAACGGGATGATATCTTAGAAATATCGGGTATTAGGTGATACCTACTACCATCCTGTCTAAACGAGATATCAGCCGATACCTAGTAAGTATCAGGGCAGGTGATCTCTCTGAGAGTTATCATCTCGCCTAAACGGGATACCGTTATATAGACATTTCAAAAGTTTATTACTTTTTTATAGGAGAGAACTACAAATCGTGCGTCCAATTCCCACCAAAAGTTTTTTTTGCTATCAAATGTTTTAGTTAACCACTAGGTGAAGCATTAATTTATACATGGTGAAAGAAAAGCAATTGAAACATTTAAAAAAATTGTGAAATACAGTGAAAATACAAGTTGAAACAATGTTGCTGTCACTTATGAAACAATAAGTTCTAACACTCTGAAATATATATATATCGGAATATAATTACGGGATATCTTGTTGTAAAGATTTAATTATAACAAATACAACATTGTGATCGGATCATATATTGGATAAATAATTTAGGAGAAAATTTATTTTGAAGATTGCTATATGCATGCATGGATGAAGTGGAGAGAGAGAGAGCAAGTAGTATGTTCGAAGAGAGAGTAGGGGTAGATAATTGCGTAAATTTTATGAAACTTAATGAAAACATATGCTACAACATTTCGCTATCACACATGTAACATTAAATTTTTACAACTGAAACATATATTTTTCTTTCATCAAAATATAATCATATAACATCTCACTTCTCACTGTAAAGATCTAATTAAACTAATATAACGGTGTGATTGGTTCATAAATTGGATTAATAATTTAAGACAAAATAATTTAAAGCTTAACAATGAGATAATTAATATACATGGGAGAAAGAGAAAAAAAAGTACAATATAGTACTGAAGTACAAGGCAACACATGCATACGCAAGAGTAGCGGAGGGAGTAAAGGGCGTTTGATTTTTATTTTGCTGGATCGGTCACCCGACCTAGATCATTCTCTCTTTATTCACGTTTAGCTAACTAAGTGTTAGAGGAATCATAATAATTCACTAAATTCGAAATAAAATTAATTATGTGTTGTAATTGTTGTAATGTGTTTTTTCTATAAACTTAGTTAAAATCAAATAATTGATCTAAAACAAACTCAAAACACCTTACAATATGGAATATGGAAGTGCAGAGAGTAAGGCCCTGGTTGTTTCAGACTAATATTATTGTAATCTAGATTATTAAATCAGATTACTGTAAGCTGGATTGTAATAAGTTAATATAGAATAAGTTGCGTGTTGTTTATTTCTCTGGATTATTGGATGTATCTAAGGGTAGTGGGTATTTAGCTACTCAATAATCTGGAAAAAAAGCTCCTCTAGAGAAGATTATTAGATTATACTAATCTGGCTTATAGATTATAATAATCTACTTGTTTGTTTTAGCTTACTTCTAATAATCTAAATTATAATAATTCTAAGCTGAATCAGGGCATTAAATATACACTCTACATGAGTTTGCATCTGGCCGGTGCGACGATGGCTAACGACGCCACTACGATCATCCTCGTCCATGAGCGCCTGGTTCCACCCGTTTTTGTATATTCTCTGTTGTCCTACCTACAGGAATTGATGCATAGATTTCCCTTTTTCCCATCTAAGTTCAAAGGTTGCAGGATATAAAGATCTTGATTCCTGATCATTTATCCACCAATTACGAGGAGTTGGCATTCTCATATGTAATTATAATACAATCGTAATGTAATTACATGTAACTTGCATGTATCTACAATGTTACTTCCAAAAATCCCTCCGTAACATCCTATTTTCGTGAAAACGGAGATCGTGAGAACGAATCCTCTCACATGTGCGCACCCTATGACTTTTTCCTTCCTCACTTGCACAAATCTTGAAGTAAATCTAACGGTTCAAAATTATGTGAAAGTTACATGCAAGTTACAATAATTACATTGCGATTGTAATATAATTACATCTATCAAATTTTTAGGAGAAAATTTCTCGACAAATATATAGCAAAATTGTTCTGAATTATTGTGCTTTTGAAAGATCCTCTTGATTATTATTGGACTCGTTTTATTTCATGTGAGATCTTTCCGCACCAATTTTTATGCGACTTCAATAGTAGGTTTAATTTACAAAACCGAATAAACTGGTTCCATGGTTCTTAGTTGCATCTATTTTCACATGAAAAAAATTAAATGCATTTAATAAGAATATGTTATCGGAAAGATAATTAATAAATTAAACTAGGCATAACTAAGATGTTGAACTCAATGGAGAATAACAGAATAGCCGGTTCCTTAAAGTTGCTGATGTAGTAAAGCTAACGTACAAATGTTGTCTTCCATTGGCAAAAGTAGATTGATGCCATGAAAGCTTGGTGTAGCACCGAATCTGCAGGACAAGCTAGCGTTACTGTCAAATAGAAGAAACGCAAAGTTACCAAGTTACCTACTATCTTCCGTTCATCCGTGGGAGAAGTATACATGACAACTTCATATATGTAAGGAACATGGTCAGGAAATATCATAGGACCAGACGACCAATTCTTCTCTTCAAGCTGGACATTTCCAAAGCTTTTGACTCAGTCTGGTGGGACTACCTCCTCACTCTCCTGCAAAATAGAGGATTCCCACCAAAATAGAGAGAATGGATAACGGGTCTCCTCTCAGCATCCACCTCAAAGATCATCCTGAATGGAATGCCTGGGGAGGCAATCAAGCACGGAAAAGGGCTTCGGCAGGGGACCCCCTATCCCCTCTCCTCTTCATCCTAGCGATCGACCCCCTACAACGTCTGCTAGACAAGGCCACTGAGCTTGGGGCGATAAGCAAATTACGAGGGAAAGCGGTACGTTTCCGCATATCCTTGTATGCTGATGATGCAGCTATCTTCATAAACCCGAACAAAGAAGATATGCAAGCCTTCACTGATCTCCTTGGTCGCTTTGGGCACGCAACTGGCTTATGGACGAACCTCCAAAAATCACATGTGGCCCCAATCAGGTGTAATAACTTGGACCTCGATGACACCCTAATGGACACGCCAGCAACCAGAGCAAACTTGCCTATGAAATATCTAGGTCTACCCCTGACCACAAGCTGGCTACGGAAGACAGACCTCCAACCGCTATATGACAAGTCGATGAGTCGCATTGTTGGCTGGCGAGGAAGACACATCGGTCTAGCGGGACGCTCTACCCTGGTAAAGGCGGTGCTTACCTCACAACCTGTCTTCCTACTCACAGGACTCAAAGCTTCCAAGGAGTCCCTCAAGGTCTTAGATAAACAAAGGAGAAAATTCCTTTGGGCGGGAGGAGAGGCTTTGACAGGGGGGAAATGTAAAATCAATTGGACGCGAACCTGCCTCCCCACTGCTTCCGGAGGCCTGGGCATCCTAAATCTTGAGAAATTTGCAAGAGCCTTATGGTTACGTTGGCTTTGGCACGAGTGGAAATCACCCGGAAAAACTTGGGTGGGCTCTGGCACGCCATGTGACGACACTGATAAGCTCCTCTTTGCGGCCGCCACAACCATAACGATTGGAAATGGTGCCAAAATAAGCTTCTGGGAATCGGCCTGGACGCAGGGGAGGAGATTGAAGGATGTTGCGCCGCTTGTATACGCAGCCTCCAAGAAAAAGAACAGAACGCTTCAACAGGCTTCGCAAGCGAACCAATGGCTTCTTGACTTGGACTTGCCAGGGACTGCGAGCTGGACGACAGACCTGATTGATCAACTTGTCGGGGTTTGGATCGCCGTTCAGGCTATACACCTGGTAGAGCACGAGGAGGACAATATAACATGGAAGCTTACTAACCATGGCGAGTACACGACAGCATCAGCATATAACGCACAACTTCTTGGAACCACCGCTACTAACTTCAATAGGCTAATCTGGAAAGCCTGGGCGCCGTGTAAGTGCAAGACCTTCGCCTGGCTAATCATCCAAAATAGAGTCAGGACCTCTGACAGGCTGGCGACAAGAGGTTGGCCAAACGGTTCCATTTGCCCCTTATGTCGTCGGACCCAGGAAACAACTCTGCACCTCCTCGCAGCATGTAGATACACAAGGAGAGTCTGGGCGGCACTAGCGGAGTGGGCGACGTGCGAGCAACTAAATCCTAGCCAATGGAGGCAAACTTCAACGGTGCTAGATTGGTGGGAGGCTACCGCAAACATACAAGAGACACCTAAGAAGGCACTCCGCACTTTGATGTTGTTGGTCGCCTTGGAGATATGGAACGAAAGGAATCGCAGAACCTTCCAACAGAAGGAGCTTTCAGCTACCTCCCTTTTAGCCAAGATCAAGGAAGAGGCCAAAACTTGGGCCTTAGCAGGAGCGAGAAGTCTTAATAGCTGCTTTCTTTTAGTTAGCTCGGACCAAAGGTCCTAGCTCCTTTCTTTTTTCCTTTCGCTTTGTAAAGTTCTCCTTCTCTATTCAATGAAATTGGCGCTCGTCGATTCGTTCAAAAAAAATAGACTAAGCTGATTCTAAGAATTCAAACTTTGTTTCAAAACAAGTTGATTCTTACAGTTTACAAAAATTATCCAAAAATAAGTTGATTTATATATATCCTCTTATCTATTCTTGGTCTGTAAATCGACAAGTTTTATTCTCCTATATTAGCCGTTATACATATATATAGCAGCATGATGTTTTTCATATCTCATTTCTCTTCTTAAATATTTTAATTCAGGTGCTGTAAAAAAATTGCCATGCATCCTTAGTTGATGTAGAGGCCGAATCTTCACTTTGTTTAAAAAGAAAAGATGAATACATGTTGCCACAAAAATCCTAGGGAACCTATATATATTACCACGAGGTACACGCTGTTGAAATGTCCCCGTAGAAATTGTTGTCATGCATGTGAAGAAAGCACAATTATCATGGTTGGCATGAAAGTGAAACCGGTCGATATAGAAGGATGAGAAGAATAGATTCATTTTTTTTTTGAAGAAAAAGCGGCAAGAGAATTGCCGATTATATTAGGAGGTAGAATAAAGTCTTACAGCATAGTTCTTAGAAAGATTAATACATCTTGGGAAGAAAAGATAGGTAGAAAAGTAGAGCTAGTAATAAATTAGCGCGGTTTGAAAACAAAATCCCGATCTCTAATGTCTTCCATTATAGCAGTTATAGTCTGCGGGATGTCTGGTGATTGGTTCCTGAAGATTTTTGCATTTCTCATTAACCAAATACGCCACCATGGTGTTAATTAGAAGGAGAAGAATAGATTCATTCACGGGTAAAACCCCATCAGTCGACGTCGTCGCGCGCTGTACTACGTGGTAATCGATTCCATCGTCGCATCTGATCTCAACACCACTCTACATACAGTATCTCTTAGCCAAGCCAGGTGTACTACCACACACTGGCAGTATGTACAGTACTGCATCCAGCTATAGCTAGCTGCCTATATATACGGTGATATGCAGACGCAGGTAGCAGCATCATATCAGCAACGAGCAGATCGATCGAAGAGGATAGATAGGTAGATAGAAATAATGGCGGGAGGAGGGGTGTGGGTGTTCAGGAACAACGGGGTGATGGAGCTGGAGGAGCAGGCGACGAGCAGGAAGGCGCTGGTGCATGTGGCGACGAGCGAGGTGATCCGGTCGACGGAGGCGCTGGAGCGGAGGCTGGGGGCGCTGGGGTGGGAGCGCTACTACGAGGACCGCGCCACCCTGCAGCTCCACAGGCGCGACGGCAGCGCCGACCTCATCTCCATCCCCCGCGACTTCTCCCGCTTCCGCTCCACCCACATGTACGACGTCGTCGTCAAGAACCGCGACCACTTCAAGGTCGTCGACCTCCACACCTAGATTTATCACTTATTACATATTAATGCAAAAACCATATATATATATATATATATATATATATATATATATATATATATATATATATATATATATATATATATATATATATATATATATATATATATTGCTTTGCTTAATTTGGTGTGGTGTGGTTTGGTTTGGTTTGGTTTAATCTCTGCATACATACATAATCATGCAGATGGCGTAATGCATGCATGTACGATCACTGGTAATGTAATGTATATAAGTGTGTAATGTGCACTGTGTGATTGATATATATGTATATGATTGTAAAATCAAATGTTCAATATATATCTATACTAGAAAAAAAATATCCGTAAGTTACAATGGGTGAAGCTTATTTTAATGTTATTATTATTATATGGTTTAGTTAAAGTAAAATTCACTATGAGAATTCGCTTGAATATATATTTTCCTAGAAAATCATGATAGGAGTCCAATCATCTCAAATCAGCATGCGAGTTTTTTTAAATAGATTTTTTATACGGCTCCTTCTGTATGTTTAAAAGCGAACGAACTTAAAGCATGACTCAAATACATGCAGGTTTTTTAAAGAGATTTCTTATATGATTTCATATGTATTTTCAAAAGCGAACAAACTTAAAACCCGACTCAAATACGGATCTTTATTTCTAAAAACGAACAAACTTAAAACTCGACTCAAATACGGATCTTTATTTCCAAAAGCGAATGAACATAAAAACCGACTCATTCACGAATGACGTACCAAAGTGCTAGTAAAAACATCTTGAATGTTTATAATAGTAGAGATATATATCCCGTATGTGTAAAAATATACAATGGGGGTTGCTAGTTGGCGCGTGCACGCCAGTTCCGTAACTGGTGCACACGCTAGCTGGCGGCGCATGCATTTTTTCGTATTTTATCGCATATTTTTATGTTTTTTTCCTTTTTAAAAAAATCGTTAGCACACGTGTTTTCAAAATATATTGAGTTGAAAATTTCAAATCTTGAGTTGAAAGTTTCAAATCTCGAGTTGAAAGTTTTTAAATTTTGACTTCAAAGTTTAAATCTTAGGTCAAAACTTGAAAGTTCAAATTTCAAGTTGAAAATTTTAAGAATAGTTTCAGTTTGCGTTGAAAGTTAGAAAGTTTTAAATTTTACGTGAAAGTTTCTTTTAGTATAGATTTCTTTTCAATCTATTAGTTAAAAAAAACAACCGGAGAAAAGGGAAGACTTACCTTAATTATTGTCACTATCTATAACTAATACAATTATTAGTTACGCTTATTACTCCCTAAAAACGCGTGTTCGCAGGGCGCGCGCCAACTAACTTTTCCGATATACAATGTTGTTGTATCGTACTCCTTTCTTCCTAGAAAGAATCGATTTCTGGAGAGAAGCATTTGTCCCAGAAAAAAGCGATTAGTGATGCATTGAATGAGATAGCAGTACAGTCACAGCTGAGCAACCAGGATAGTAGTCTATCCACTTGTTCACGCAAACTTCTCTATTCTCTCTCGTTTCTCTCGTCTACTCCCTCTCTCATTCACACATGCACTCTGTACGAGAGTAGTACTTGTGCACGGAAGTTTGTTTTTTTATTTGAATGATGGAATAGATGTTGTACTTATACAAGGGTATTTGGGTCTTTAATAGTGGTAGCTAAAATTGCCTCGGGTATCAGAATTGCTATTTTTGGGGACAGATGGAGTACCTGTCAACGTATAGTAACAAGGAACCTTAAAAAACAAAGTAGAAGAGGAGGAGGAATCTGTATCTGTGATTGATGTAAATGATCAGCTTGTAAGGACATGTACAATGGTTGTTAATAGTGGTCTCTTAGCGTTGCTAATTAGGAATACTTGTTGACATGAAGGAAAGAGAAAGAGGAGAGACAAAACATCGTTGTTATGCATGACAACAGCTTAACAACGACTTTTAGTCACTATAATATAGAAATATGATTGCATGAGGATAAAAATATGAAAAGAATATTAACAAAAGGAATATTTTTTGAGTTAATGATTAGAGCTTTTGTCGTCTCAACTATTGTAAAGACATGGTCTCTAAATAATCTTGTATTGTTTAAGAGGTCATACCCGTCTCTATCATTGAACATGCCCTAATAATGCAAGCTAGCATGATCTGATGTGTACGACTGTAACTGCATGTTCTCATCAAACGCTCAATATAGTATCCCGTTTGTCGTCGTTGTATCCATCTGTCAACATAGAACAAGGAGCTCTTTTTAAAAAAAAGAAAAAGAAAAAGAATCTGAATAGAGGTATTACGTGCATGTTTGTCCGGAACCACTATCGCTAAGAGAAGGCTGGAATAAAACGCAGCATCTATCTTTTCACTCTCGCAGTGATGTCCCGGTCAAGTTAGCTTAGCTCCCGGCCGGATGGGCCCACCACCAGGAGAAATATTCTGATGACGAACAGGGATAGAGTTTGATGAACTTACATTGGCTTAGTTCAGCGCAAAGTTTAGATTTTGGTTAAAATTGGAGATGATGTGACTGAAAAGTTGTGTGTATATGACAGGTTGATGTGATGGAAAAGAACTGAAGTTTGGATCCAAACTTTGGATCTAAACACAACCTAGTTTATGAATATACTGTTTATGTAGTGGACAGACACACGGCGAATACGATATCAATTTGATGGTCATGGAACCTGATACCAACCCTATCTAAGGTATGGTTTTTTTTCTCCAATAAAAGTTGGACGAAGATTAAGATTTTTATGGTACACTTTTCAAAATGCTAAATAGTGTATTTTGTACGAAAATTTTCTATATGAAAGTAGCTCTAAAATATCATATTAATCTATTTTTCAAGTTTGTAATAATTAAAACTTAATCAATCACACGTTAATACCACCTCGTTTTACGTATAAAACTTCACCTTCATCTTCAGAATAAAAGAACACCACCGAAGAGCATACTACATATATCTCATTCAACCCTAAATTGATTTATTTTGAAACAGAGAGAATACAGTTTATTTATTAAAGCGACATGCATTATTCAGTGCAGAGTACCGTGCATAATTGTAATTTGTAGTATATTCAGACAAACTAACCATTGGTAAAAAGAAGAAGAAAAGATCACAAGTTGGGCCCTCACTAATTAAGCACTACGTCAGATATGATTGGCCATCATTGCATTTGTTTTACTTAACAAAACAAATCGTCAAATCAAGTCGAACACCATCGCATGCAGCGTGTTGTTGGACATTTAATATGTTCCAATTTCCAGCGGCGGATCACATGTTCTTGAATGATAAAAGGCGTATGAACAATTAAGTGACTAGTCGTCAGTCAGGTAGCAGCAATAGCATGGCTTTGAAGCCGGGAGACAAGTGTTCTGCAACCACCAGCTGACAGGGCGTTTTCTCACGTCGCATTTGCGATTTTGCAGGCGAGAGATTTACCCCTCTGCATCCATCCACCAACCCGATCGACGACTGGTTTGCTTGCATCTGAAAAATGTCCTCTTCTAGGTGAGGTACAGTACAATTGTACAGAATAAAGCCATACAACTCACGCTTGATCTGGCCCAATTCTACCTGTCTCCTGCTGATCGATGGCGGAGCCACCACCTCTAACGGCACCGGCGCCGGCGCCGGCGACTCCTCCGGTAAGTACATGCAGTTGACAGCTGAATTCAGAATCCCTGGGTGTTTTTGTGTTCAGAGTTCAATTTCTGCTGATATGCAATTATGCATGCTTGTTCTTGTTGATCTGTAGAGATTGGCGGGGTTCGAGCAGTTGGACGCGCGCATCAAGGTGTGGTGAATTCCTGGGCGGCGGCGTTGGTTCTTGGCGTTGAGATTTTCGGCTGATTTTATCCTGTGTCTCGTTTCGATTGCAGGAGCTGACCTCGTCGCAGGGGGAGTTGCTGGACAGGATCCAGAAGCTCAAACTGGTATGAATTGTACTGCGAAATTCTTTGCCTCTGTTGCTGCTGTGATTGGGAATAGAATTGGATTATTGGAGAATTTCTCTGTCTTGATGGCAAAATGATGGAGAATGAGCAGCAGAAGTGCTTTTGCAGGAGGTGCAGAACTGGCGCTCCAACCTCGAGACACAGGTCAAGACAAGCCAGAATGTGAGTACTGTTTCATCATCTCTCTGTACAGAACTGAAGAAAGACTCCTGCTTTCCTGAAGCAAAACGTACGGGACCATCTTATAGCAGGTGATGGCAACTCATGCAGGAACTTTTGGAGCTGAAGAAGGGGCTAAATTCTGAAGTGGAGCTGCTGAAATCGGTCTCTCTCTTTCTCTTTCATATTCTTGCTTTGTTTGTTCTGATTCTTAGGTCGTACTGCTCATGGTTCTGGCATATGATTCTAGGAAATGAAGGAAATCAGGTATGCAATTCAGGAGGAAAAGGGCACTTTACAGACTCAGTTTGCAGATATAGAGAAGGTTAATGCCATCTTTATGTTTGTTTCATAGAAATAGTACCTGTGCGATGTGCTATACTGAGCTATTGCTGCCAGTCCTGAATCTGCAATGACTTGGCTTCTGTTGTAGAGCAACGAAGACACAAACCAAGCCCCGCAGCCTCGAGAACCAGCACAGGAGTTTGATACCGATGCTCATATGGAAAAACAAACTGCAATGGAAGCATGAATTGGTGCTCCATACAGACGGTTGGTTCCATTCAATGTATTGCACGAAAATGCTCCGTAACTATATGAAGTTGAGTTTTGGAAAATACATGTGCCAAACTCGAATGCATACTTGCAAGTTTCCTACTGCATGTTTGTATATCAGTACCAGCAAACTGAAGTACTGTTGTACAAACAAAAACATATATTTGCCGTAGTGAGAATTGCTTGAGTTGTAACAATTCCATGTACTCTCTATTATTAAAAGAGCTCTGCATAGCCAAGTTGTACACACGCACATGCTCTGAATCATGTAGATCTAGATGGTTAAGTGCCAAACTGAGCTGAACAATCCATTTATAATCACTGTGCGTTCCGCACACAGCTGCGTTTCTGCTGAGAGACAACTTATCAGATCCACCATTATCATGTATGAGAAGCTGAGTACTTCATCCTGGTATTCAGTTCAGCTGGCACGACTTACACTGCCGCCCCAAAGAGCTTAATTTGTTCGTGGTTTAACATTTTGCTTTTTATCCGTGTGAAGGCTCCCTACAAGTGCAGAATACAGAGCATCATCTGGGGTCAATCCATCTCCCAGCATATTGTCGTACAACTGGAATGCCTCCTCTGATCTTCCTTCCTTGGCCAGGCCGGATATCAGAGCAGTATATGCCACCAAGTTGGGTTTAGACCCCCTCTGCTTCATCTCTTCAAACAGCCTCAATGCCACATCCACCTTCCCATTGACACAGTGCCCATGGACTAACGCTGCATAAGAGTATATGTCTGGAACAAGCCCTTTCTTTTCCATCTCATTTTTGAACCTCTCAGCCTCCCGTATGCTCCCCTTCTTGATGTACCCATCCATCATAACATTGTAGGTTACCAGACTAGGTTCTGCCCCATTTCCTGCCATCTCTCGAAACAGCCTTCTTGCCTCGACCATGTCACCTTCATTGCAATGGATGCTGATCAACGTAGTGTAGCTTACATGGTTTGGCCTGACACCCTTCTCAATCATGATACGCAATAGATTCTTGGCCTCATCCATTCTATTCGCCCTGCGGAGGCCACATGCTAGTGTGTTGTATGTATACACATCCAGCTCGATGCCCATCTTCTCCATGATCATCTTTATTTCAAGAGCCTTGTCCACCATATTTTTCCGACAATACCCATCAATCATTGTATTGAAAACAATTTGGTTAATTCCCACCCCTCGAACTTGCATATCTGTCACCAACATCTCTGCAGCCTCCATCTGCCCAATCTTGCAGAACCCATTGATCAATGCTCCATACGTATGCTCGTTTGGCTCAATGCCATTCCCAACACATTCATCAAACACCTCCGATGCCCTCCGCACATTCCCTGCACGGCAGTATGCGTTGATGACTGAAGAATAGAAGTAGACATCCCCTGAGAGATTCTTACTCTTCATCTCTTCAAACACAGCCTCAACCTTGGTGATATCTCTGGCTGCCGATAAACCATCGACGAGGATTGTATATGTCCCGACTGTTGGCTCAATGCCTTCATTTTCCATTACCTTTAGCATCTCTGCCACCCGATCATCATCTTTTTCGCGCGTGTATGCGTCTAGCAGCGAGTTATAGCACAAGGCGTTAACCTTCACGCCGTGTCGAGGCATTTCGTCGAGCAGCTGGCGGGCGTGGGCGACGCGGCCAGACTTGCAGTATCCGTCGACGACGACAGACGCCGAGAGAGGCGTGACGGAGTCAGGACAAGAAGTGGCAGCCTGTTTGAGGAGGTCGGCGGCGGTGTCGAGGTGGCCTGCTCGCCGGAGCGAGAGGAGGGAGGAGGTGAGGGAGCGGGGGTCAAGCCCCCCGAGGCGGGATACGGTTAGCTCGAAGGCCTCGGCGGCGCGAGCGGCGGCGCCCGAGTCCGCGTAGGCGCGGAAGAGCATGTCGTAGAAGGCAGTGACGGCGTGCCGCGGCGCGGCGCGAGGGAGGGAGGCGGCGGCCAGGTCGGCGAAGGGGACGGCGAGCAGGCGGGGCGTGACGAGGGAGGCGAGTAGCGACTTAGCGGCCGCGAAGCGGCGCGCGGCGAGGAGCGAAACGAACCCCGCCAGCGGCGTGGCCGGTAACTTCGCCGGCGCCGCCGCCGCCGCCGGCGACTCGGAGTCGGACGCCATCGGCGGGGGAGCGAGGTGGAGAGGGGAGAAGACGAGCGAGTCCAAATGGGCTCGACCTGCTTGGTGTCCAATGTTGCAGATGCTTTTATGGGCTTAAAATCTCGGCCCAATAATATATTGACTGAAATGTCAGCCCATTATCCCCAAGGCCCATAAAGAGCAGGAGCCACCGGCCCACCTACAAACACATACATGCAAGAGGAATTGGGCGGGCCTTTTTACATACAAATGTGCTTCGTTGCTATATGGGCGGGCCGTGTATGGTGGAGCTTGAAGAAAACTGAAAATGTAAAATGTAATATTCGGTGCAAATTTCTCAATATATTACGTTACATTATCAGCCGATGTAAACTGGAGAACAATATGTACCTCTAATATTTCCAAATTGATCAGCTTATATGATTTTTACAGCATTAGCTAATTACCATATTAAATAGCCTCCGTCCATATATTCATTCATCACGTACTTCCTCTGTCAAAAAAAAAATCGATCTGTTGAGTTGGTTGAGTTCTTTTTTAGATGGAAGGTGTACGTGGCAGACGGAACGACGAAGGGAATGACATGGGGCATGGTGGTTGAGTCGAGAGAAGTTCACGAGCGGCTTGGGAACCGAAAAGGCGAGACAGGTTACGACGCGGTTGTGGCCCATGGCGCCGGGGGGCGTAGTACGTACTCGTATCTTGCCCATACGGGCCACGGGCCGTCCGGCCCTGTCGCGTCGACGAGACACCAACGCAGCAGCAACAACAACAACACACGCATGTGTGCACAGTGCTGCCTCTGCCTGTACACGACCACGTCGCACTACTCGGCTCTACTCATCACGTAGTAGGAGGAGGAGTACGTGTACGTGCTCGCCCTCGTGCCTGCCCATATCGGGAACCCTCTACATGACTAGATGCGTGCTCCACAGACACACACGTGCACACAATACATACCGATTTTGCTTATTCGCTTAACACACCGACTTGTAATAGTACTATACTTACGTTACGTCCAAAAAAAATAAAAACTTTATTTGTTTTTGGCATAATTTCACTTATCCTATAAAGACTCCATCACAATTAGTACTCCATCCGATTCAGATTCTAACACTTTCTAACATTATTCATATTCATTTAGAAGTTAATGAATCTAAAAAAATATATATGCCTAGATTCATTAACATCTATATGACAATGCTAGAAAGTCTTACATTGTAAAACGGAGGAAGTAGTAACTAGGTGATACCCCGCGCTTTGCTGCGGGATTTATGGATGGGTATATGTTAAATATTGTCGAAATGCTGAGAGTTGAAATGTTAAGAAAATAATGTGAAGAAAATGATTTGGCACATGCTTGTTGATGATGTGTCATGTTTGCATGGGATTTAAAATAGGCTAGAACAGTAATTATTGCTAGCGAGTGAAGATGTGGTATGCTTGTATGGGATTTTAAATAGGCTAGAATAGTAATTGCTAGTGGGTGATGATGTGGCATACTTGTATGTTGAGCTTTAGCTTCTAATAATTGTTAGTGAGTACCAACTATATAGAAAAGTATAGATATATTGGAATTCGAGGAAGTGACGATAAATATATTAAAGTTTGCAAATTAAAACAGATGATAGCTTTGTGTTGGTACTATACATGTGATATACTATAGAAGTAGTAGTGTTAGTTATCTCCATTCTAAAATATAAGGTTAGTTTGGTTTGTAGCTTAAATAGGCCTTACTAAATTTTGTCAATGCCATTTTTTGGCAAGTTTTGGTATGACTAATTTTTGTAAGGTAAAGTTGTGTTTGTATTGAAGCCAAAATAGCCTAAGTTCACTATTGAAATTGTATATTTTCTTATTTTCTTAGGTATGTCAAAATTTGTCTTCAAACCAAATAGACACTAAACACTATTAAAATTATCAAATATTGGTAAGTCTAATTTAGGCCTCAAACCAATCCAGCCCATAGTCAACTCCGACATAATAATTTGTTTCAAAGTAAAAGTATTTTTTTTACCTGTCATTCTTAACCAATAATAACATTCCTCCAAACGTTTTAAGAAAGCTTAATACCAGCACAGTGTGGCGGCCGCATGCTAGGCGGCGGCGAGGGTATTCTGTCTGCATTACAACGGCGGATTGCGGCGTCGGTGGAGTAGTGATACTGTTACTGTGTGATCATGCAAGGGAAACACCTGTGTCACTCAACTGTGTGTGGGGGTTAACAAACTTGGAGCCAAGCCAAGCAAGCAGGACGGTTGTGGCGCCGGCCAGCTGCCTTTCTGCAGGCAGAATTTATAATCGGAGACACTGCTTTTGATGGAGAAAGCTCAGCACACTTACCGCGGCAGCTACTACTCCATAGACATAGAGCCGGGTAGGCTGCCTGATGATCAATGTTTTTCTATCACTGCCAGGGTTAACAAAACCACGCGTTTATTAGCCCTATCATTTGGCTTGTATGTAAAATAAATCAAACGGTATATTTGTAAATGAAAAATAATTTGTAAATAAACTTTTATATACGTGTTATTAGCGATCTAAAAACAAAGGCTAAAAAAATTAACTTCGATAAAAAAAACCTTAAAATCGGCTTCAAATTTAAGGTTAAAAATTTAAATTTAAGATAACCCCACCCAAAACGGTTTGATAAACCCTGAATAAATCACGATTTACCTTTTTCGATTTCGAAGTAAAAAATTGCTCTAACCGGTTTATTAAAATCCGACCGAAAACCAATAAAAACCGACAAATTTGATCAACACCATATATTAACTGGCTAATACTGGCCGGTTTCACAAAATTTCATCGGTTTTATGAACCTGACCCTGATTACTCTTACACAGTATATGCACACACAAGAAGAGGATATGGAGAAAAGAAGGGAAAGAAGAAAAAGAAGGATATGGAGGAGTATCTGATCAGGCCATCGATCATCGGGGTGTGGCCTGGCGATGCAACTTTTGCCCTTTCTTGCAATTGCATATTCGTCGTCCTTGGAACATCAGATCCATCGATTTGATCCCATTACGGTCTGTGAACAGTCCCCTGAATGAGTGAATCCCGAACTGCTTTTCGTTTTTCCATCTTCACCATACTATACTGTTGCTGCTTTTCGTTCCATCTTCATCTTCAAGAGAGTGAAGCATTAGATATATCTGCGTTCTTTTCTCGCTCGCTTGCAAAACCGCTAAACAATATTCTTTTTTAAAAGAAACCATAAACAAACTATGTTAAAGTTTAAAATAATTAATTACACTAATGACGAATCCCGTTTTGCATATCTTCGTAATTTACTCTTTGTCCTTATCTCAAACACACTCAAATTTAGGAGTGCAACATCAGTATATTCAGGACAGAAACACAAAAGTGGCCAGTGGATGATGTGGTTGCTGCTTGCTCAGCGAGCATGATCTAACCATAACTGCGTCATGACAGATGATATTTTAGGCAGGACACAGGAGAGAGCTTAAATTTGCGAAAACCCAACTGTTTACAGCTAAAACGTCAGGTTTTCCAGCCGATCAAAGTAGACAAGATAAGAGCTAGGCAACAATGCGCACTATTTCAGGCTTGCAGCTAGCATCGGGCAAGGTAAACAACAACAACAACAACAACAAAAAGGAAGAAAAACCGAGCAATTAACGAGGAAACTAATCAAACACGCTCTAAATCCTAGCTTGATTAAGCATGTGTGAAGTCTCCGGGATCGAATAAACCGCGAGCCATGTGCCTGTCCGTACCTCGAACTGCTCAAAGACTGCACCTCGAGCTGCACTGCACCGCGAGAGGAGATCCATCCATGGCGCCCCAATGCCATGGTGGTGTTAAATTCCGGCGCGAGAGCATCTCGGCCTCGCCGCCGCGCGCGGCCCACGTGGCGGTACATGTAGCCGGGCGTACGGCGGGTGGGGCCCACGCCGGCGAGGTAATAATATGTTTATACGGCGGCAAGGACGCGGCCAGCAGCTTTTTCTTTGGACAAGGAATAATTACAACCCTGACAGAGATGTTTATTTTAGGAGCAGAGCTCTTTCATTGAGCTTGTTTAGCGAATTTAACATTCTAAAAAGCATCTGACTGAAAACCATCTGAAAAAGCTAGGTTTTTCAGCATTTGATTTTTAGTTTATTTTCTAGATTCTATAACTATAGCTTCTCATAATTCATATTAAAAGCTAGACTGTTTAGAGGAGCTTCTGATTCTGGAAGAAGCTACAGCAGTTATAAGCTCCCAAACAGACCAATTGTCTCTCTTCAAGGGTCTTCTTCGGAGTGAAGTAGAGGCTGAGTTCTAAGTACAATTTAAAATGACAATTTTATCGTTTTCGTTTACACCCTTCCTAAATTATTAAACATTATGTTTTGTATAAAAAATTATATATACATACATATATATATAATATTTATATTAAGGAAATAAAATTATTTTAAAAAATTATAATAGCTAATATTTAATTAATCATCTAGAACTTCTTTTTCGAGCCGCCAACAACTCTAGTTGAAACTTAGTTTCAAACTTGGCCTAGTCCTTGTTTGCGGAGTTCTTTTTTTTATTACATGACAATGCACACACCATTACACACGCAATACTACATTTACACTCTCGTCAATACGTCCCTTGATACATGTCTCTAAAGATACAGAAGCCAACGGCACATCCTTGATTACACTAAATCTATAGGTGGTGTTTGAATCTCCTGAAGATAAAGATAAAGATTAAGTGTTTCGCGTAAAACGAGATGATAATAACGTGTGATTAATTGAGTTTTAATTATTACAAACTTGAAAATGGATTAATCTGATATTTTAGAACAACTTTCACATAGAAAGTTTTCGCACGCAACACACAGTTTAATAGTTTGAAAAACGTGCCACGAGTATCCAAAAGTTTATCCAACTTTTGTTTACAGAGTTTCTAGCTACAACTTCTTTCATAATTTTCAGGACTTCACATATTATATTTACAAAATAAACTATAAAGAAGATGAAAAACTAAAACCTAGTTTTATTTTAGATTATCAAAAGCTATCAACCAACTACTTCTCGAAATCCTTATATCTCTAAACAAGGCTATATAGTACTAGATGATGTTATTTTCAGATTAAGATACTTATTTTATCTCAATTCCTGTTAGCACGTTTTTTAAACCGTTAAATAGTGTGTTTCGTGTAAAAACTTTATATATAAAAGTTGTTTTAAAATATAAAAATAAATCCATTTTCTAAATTTATACGCTAAATATAAAAATAAATCCATTTTCTAAATTTATACGCTAACAAATCTTTTATTTTACGTGTCCTAACTTTATTTTTATTACTAGAAAAAAGCAGTACTCGCATCTGACTCTACCTGTCATAAACATATCTGGTGGGCCATCGCCTTTGATGGAGATTGGAGAATTGTACCTTACCCTGCTGTTAGATTGACAGCCTTGGCCGAGCACAATTTACTAACCCTGCAGGGAGGTTGGTAGCTAGGTCTCCAGATTTATTGCTGCACTTTGCTCCATCAACTTAAACCCAACCTCCAACATTTACTTGCTCAAACTACCGTTTACGCACTTAAGTAATGAACCTTATATAGGAGTAGTTCAATGGAGATGTATGCAGCAGTACAGACAATACATTTTGGTTCCAAACTGAATGACAAGAGAAATGCCAACGATTGGCATTGCCAACAATTGATGGTAGGAAGGTCCCGGATCGAGCACGTACAGCAGTTACTACACTGATACTGCTATACCAATTTTCGCCGTGCAGATAGTGAAGGAGCTTGCAGTATTACACTCGTGGTCGCAGTATTCAGTAAATACGTAGTGCAGTACATTATCCTTTTTCCATTTCGCGCCTTCGGCGACGTCGCATGAATAATCTTTAGCCTCGTTAGTTACAGTAGCCAAAAAATAACCGAGACCATTTTTTCACTCCGAAATTCGATCAGGCCTTTTTCACTTACTAAAATTAATTAGGTAAATTAAGTTGGTTATCATTCTCGATTGACCGAAATGATAGAATTTAGCCGAAATTAGGAAAGAAGCCCAAGTAGCTACTATCTTGGTTAAGTTGGAAGATAGATCACTGCTATGATTGATGCTAGCTATCTTGATGAATTGGTATGTTATACGTCGTTGGTCGTTATCTTGTGCTACAATTGTCAAAGAATCCTAGCTAAAAGAGCTAGAAAGGGCTGAGAAAATCTTGCTCTATAATTTATTTGATTTTTTGTCTCTTGAAACCGTCGCATAGTAGTATTTCAGGACCGGACAGAGCTAATCAAAACCGATCGAATTGTTCGATTAGATGACAAAATTTTCTCAAACACCGAAAGACCGAACCGAGAGTTTTTTGCTTGAATGCATACTAATATGTACTCACATGCACGAACATGCCACGGATGCTCTGTTGATATGCCATGAATGAATTGTATCTCCAACGGGAGACGTGTCTGACAGCAGCAGTGCAGTACATTTCACCTGTCTAGCTAACTGTATATACGTCGTTGGTGCGTACACACATACTGTACTTGTACGTCCTGACCCAGCTATAACCACAGTACTAATATGCGACCACTGATATTCTGAATTCTGATACGTATCTTCTGGTCGACCCTACGGCGTATTTAAGTAGTATAATGTACGTACGTCACGTGGAAGTAACTGTAGGCCAATCGTATAGTAACGCCCAGTACGTATGTACTGGGGTACAGTAGTTTTCGAGTGTTCCGAAACCTGAATATATAATGTCTGAAGAAACTACTGCAAACATGCAACCATCATCGGTTCTGGACATTTTATCTGAATACTACTCATATCTGTCACATTTTGTTCTCTGAAATTAACCTGAATATCTGAATTCTAGTTTTCTACCCGGGGAGTCAGTCGCAGAATGGACATTTCATCAGATGAGGCTGCTACAATAATAAGCAACTTAATTACTCTTAACTATACTCTGTAATTAGCGGGTACTACAGCTGCAGCACAAGTGAAAATGACACCACTAGAGGAGCTATAGTTACCTGCTCTGAAAACAACGTACGTGCATGTGGTGCTCCATAATGAGAGACACCCTTTTGTTTTGAATGCTGCTGCTGTTAAGTTGTTGCTGAATGTAATGGCCCTGTCTGACTCATTCACCAAACCCCTGAATTACGAGGTCTTGATTGCACCACTAAAACAAAAGAGATCGATCGCCAGAATTGCATGCACACACTTGCACAGATTAATGGAGATCCTTATCAAAGATCACATGATAATCTTCACCTAAAACATTTAGGCCAGGATAATCAGGAAAAAAAGCTAGTACTAGCCAGAACTGATCATCAGGGAGCACTAAGCTTCAATCTGCCATCATCATGGATATGATCATTGCGTACAAATATATTTATGTGGTTCTGATGTCACCATCCTGGGTCCTTCAAGGATTGACGTGTACAGGGTACCAGTAGACCTGGGCCCACAGGTCAGTGACACGCTGGCACTTTGCAAATAGCACCCTCAACTAGTACAGTGCTACACTTGTTGGCCATTATAAAGCTCAGCTTCCCTAAGCAACACACCCCCTCCTGGCTTAGCTTCCCTTCTCACTCGCACGCGCCGCCGCCACAGAGCTCAGCTTAGCTCGAAGCTACTCCGTCTCGAGGTAGCTAGCTAGCTAAGCCTTCATCCATGGCGTCAGGAGAAGCAGAGCCACTGCAGTACACGGTGAGCCTTGATCTGAATGAAATCAATGCCTCCATTGGAGGCTAGAGCTTAGCTCTAATGCTCGATCTTTGCGAAGACGACGACGACGCCATTGTTGTTGTTTTGCTGACGTCTTGCTGTTCTTGTTGGTGCAGACCACCGTGCTCCGAGTGTCGATCCACTGCGAGGGTTGCAAGAAGAAGGTCAAGAAGGTGCTCCAGAACATCGAAGGTATGTGTAGTTTTCGCAGGTTTGATTGAGATTTGATCGATTTCTTGGTGATTGATTGGTTTTCCGGTGATGCGCAGGCGTGTACAAGGTGACAATCGACGCGGCGCAGCACAAGGTGACGGTGACGAGCAGCGTCGGCGCCGACGTGCTCGTCAGGCGGCTGCACAAGTCAGGGAAGCACGCCACGGTGTGGCCGTCGCCGCCGGTCGCCGCCGCGGCGAAGCAGAAGCCCGACGAGGTCGCCGCCGCGCCGCCACCAGCTGCTGCTCCGGCGCCGGCCGGGGAGCGCGGGAAGGGCGCGGAGAAGAAGGCGAAGGAGGCGGCGAAGGAAGCTGGGACTGAGAGCTCGGAGAAGAAGCCGGAGAAGGAGAAGAAAGCCGAGGCGAAGAAGCCGGCCAAGGACGACGCCGCCAAGAAGGAGGGCGAGGTGCCCGAGAAGGAGAAGGGCTCGCCTGAGCCTAACAAAGAATCGGCCGCCGCCGCCGCCGACGAGGAGGAGGGCGGGGAGGAGTCCGGCGGGAAGAAGGGCAAGAAGAAGAAGAACAAGCAGAAGGACGGCGGCGGCGAGGCGGACGCCGCGGCGCCGGAGAAGCCAGCTGCCAAGGCGCCACCGGCCGCACCCGCGCCGTCGATGCCCGCTCCGGCGCCAACGCTGTCGTCGCCGGAGCGCCCTCACGGCGGGTTCCCGTACTACTCGCCGCAGCCGGTGATGAGCTACAATGTGGCGCACCCGAGCGCGAGCGTGTCCTCGTACTACGCGCCCACGCCGGTAATGTCCATGCAGCCGACGCCCATGCCGCCGCCGCCGCAGATGTCGTACGGCTACTCGCCGTACCCGCCCATGATGATGCCGCCGCCGCCGCCGCCGGAGTACCTGTACGGCCCGCCGGGCATGCGGTCGTCGCCGCCGCAGGAGTCTTACAGCAACATGTTCAACGAGGAGAACCCGAGCTCGTGTAGCGTCATGTAATGCCGCCGCCGGCGACGATCGCCGGCGCCGGACACGGGACCGATCGAGCTGTAGTTGACGGGGAGGCTTCTCAATAGAAGCCTCTCCTCTCGTGTGGTTGCTAGCTAGAGTGGAGTACTGTTAATTAGATGGTCAAACCTCTTCTTGACCAGACTTTTTTTTCTCTTCCCATTTTAAAATGCTCTTAGTGCATCATGTAATGAGATGAGTATTTTAGTACCCTTAATATCTTCTTTTGTTAATTAACTTGTTTGGTTGTTTATTATTTTCTAAATGATGGGCCCTTCTGAAAAGTAGAATTTATGAAAACCTTGTAAAATGCATGATTTTTTTAATGAATTTGTAGGTATCTAATTCATTACACAAACAAAATAAACCAGATATTTTGAATTTGAGCAGTGATGTGATGTTACCTACCACTTCGAATTGTGAGGCAAGTGGAGGCACATTTGGCGCCAAGAAGAGTCTTTGGCCAGGCTAGTTAAGCTGGCGTCCTGTTGGCTCACAGGCTTTTGTTTATGAGATGATTACTCTGCAAATTAAACAAAGGGCCAGAGTTGTCCACATGTAATGCAATGATTCTTGCGTTGTTCTGTGATACGCTCCTTGATTTGATTATTTTGGGGAAAGCATAATGGAAGGGTAGTGGACAAATCAGCAAGGGCATGAGACTATGAGAGTGGACATGGACTTGTTTGTTTTTCTTAATTATGAATGGAGTTGTTTAAATTAGCATTTACCAGTGGTACTCTTGATAGTATTTCGTTTAACCAATGCGCCACTTGTTTGATTGATATAGTTAGTGTTTAGGGATACGATAGTCTCGGTTTGTTTAGGGGTCGATTGTTGGCCAGCCATATACAGTTTACCACTTCTAAAGTTAAGTTAGACAAATTTATTTAACTGAGACAGTTGTTCAGTTACTTATGATAAGATTCTCGTATCCGCCATGTTTTAATGATTTAGAAAAATATGGAAATATTCTTTTAGACCTGCTGGACAAATATTTTGAACACTTAATCTTGAGGATGTTTGGTTTCTTTTGTTGGCAAGTGTTAGCAAACTGTGACTGACAACGCACAGACCTATTGTTTCGCCTATAGCCGATTATAAGCCCTAATGCTTATTAGCGAAAAATAATTTATAAATAAAACTTTCACACACATATATTCTTAATCACTTAAAATCTAATGTAAGTAAAAGTAATTAATAATATTAAGATCAACACTAAAAGTAATTTTAAAATTTAAATTTTGGTTACAGTTAATAATTAAGCTAGAGAGCAAACAATATATCATAATTTTCATTACAGAAGGTAGCAATTAAAAACTAAAAATATGTTTGGCAGTTTGAGTTGGGAGCAAATCCCTCGTGCACCTTTTTGAGCAACTCATTAATACGTGATTAAAAATAGATTAATATGGTTTATAAAACAATTTTTTTATATATGTATTTTCAAAAAAAAAGTCTGTTTAATAATTTAAGAAGCGTGGACGTAAAAAAAAAGAGAAAGAAGAGACGGCAACATTAACAACCCAACACAGCTGTTGGTCAAAGTTGTGTTGTGACCAAAAGGAGCACAGAGACTGTTCATCTGTAGTATAGTAGGTAGTCGTACAAGGCAGGGAGTATATATGCGAGGTTTAATTTGTTGTGTACACCCCATGGAAACAGTGAGAACGGATGGCAGCATCTCCATCCACGGGACGGAGAGCAAAATTGCTGGTAGGATTCATGGCACCGACACGCAAATGTGGCTGTAAAACCCGGTGTTTCCGGGCAAAACATTTTTTTGAAAGGTGACCATACGACGTTGCAACGAGGACTGGTCTGGTGTGAGGACTGGACTGCCCGTGTCAGTTCCCGGGTACGCACGTCCACATGCCGTGTCGATCCCCCAAACCAGCAACGGATTAATTCGGTGGAAAGCCCCCGTTAATTTTATCTTGGTTTTCCTCAAACAACTACAAATATCCGGCACAGCCAATAACAACAGTGTTGCAAGCATCAGTGTAACATACGGCTGCTGCTGAAGCTACAAGCCGACCTTCTGAACACACCCATTTACTACTCCCTTAGTTGCTAAATCTTTACAGTTGAAACTATTGACATTTTAAATTTAACCACTTGTCTTTTAACAAAAAAAACAAATACTATTAAAAAAATATTGTATTTATTAAAAATTAGAGGAAATTGGTGAGTAAAATCGAAACAGTAATAGTCAATAGAGAATATTCTATCCACTATAAAATATAAATACTTCTAACATTTCAAAATCATACCATGAAAATATATGCACCTCCAATCTATTCAGATTACCGTTCTTCCCAAGTTCCAATCATCTGCTAGCACCATTCAAATTTCTTTAGTATCTTATCCTCAATCATCGATCCCTCATTTACTAAGCGACATCAAAGTCTTTCCTCTTAAAAAAATATCCTCTGTTAAGTAATCCTAAAATTACTTATATTTTAATACAGATAAAATACGTATTTAGGAATGGAGCGAGTAAAATTAACGGTGAGGCAGTGACAATGCCAGTGTGTGCGTGCGCGTGCACTGTGCTGCATGTATTGTGGCACGAGACGAGCCGCGGCGACGGCGACGGCGAGGCTAGCGGAATCTAGCTGCGGCTGCCTGCCTGCCACTACTGCCAAGTGCCGACGCGAGTAAAGTCTCCCGCTGTTTGACCGCGGCTTGAGCATCCTGCATATCGCCTCGCCGGCCGCCGCCGTCGAAATCCCACAGAAAATCGACCCATTTTCTCGTTGGAACCAACCAAAGATTTCGCGGTCGCGTTGCAACCCCAGAGGGAGGACGCGCGTAGTACTAGTACTACTCTCTCCGTAAAAAAAAAAAAAAAAAGCTAGGAAATTAAAGACGTACCTCCAAATATTTTTTAAGAAGAAATTACGAGCCTCCGCATCATTGAAAAAAGAAGAGATTTAGAAGGAAAGACGTGCCTTCAAATATTTTTTAAGAAAAAATTATGAGCCTCAAAATATTTTAAGAAGAAAAGAAAAAAAAGAAGAAAAAAGAAGAGATTTAGAAGGAAAGACGTACCTCCAAATATTTTTTAAGAAAAAATTATGAGCCTCAAAATATATTTTGAGAAAAAATTTTAAGCGTATTGGAGATTGAAAAAACCAAACACCCCTTACTACTACACTATTAGGTGCATCTCTCCTAGCTATCTGTATTGTTCATTTTCCTATTTATCCCAAAATAAATTTATTTTTAAAATAATTATTATGTTGATGTGAAAATATGGAATAAATGTACCGAGAGTATATAAAGTAAGAAATAATTATATTGGGATTCGATGAAATGATGATATTATGATCTTTTTAGGTTTTATATTGGATGAAAAAGAGCTTATTTTAGCACTGAAGGAAAATTGAAGGTTCCAGGCAGCAGAGCTGTGCATCTTGAATGGCCATCTCATCTCATCTCTCCTGGGTGTGTGTAGATTTTGTTCTCTAGTGTATGGTTCTTTCTTCCGGAGAAACGCAGGTGAATGACTGAATGCTCCTGCTCCAAGCTCAGGCTGCTGCACCAACAGCAAATGTATGAATTGAAGCGAGATCTACTCGTGTTCAAAGTGTGTTACGACTAGCAGTACCACTACCACTACTACTCATGTCATGGCTCTGCTGCATCTCATCTTTGCGATTGCGACGACAAACCCTGCCAGAGCTGATGCACTCGCTGGGGTAAATTCAATGGCAATGCCAGAGCCTTGACAGGATGCATAAATGCCATTTTGCATTTTTGCAACCAAAACAAATTAAAAGTTGGGGGCAGTAGCAATGGTACGCTAACACTATGCTCATTGAATCTGAGCACTTCCAACAAATTATTAAAAGTCTTCTGCTCCTAGCTGGTGTCTAACTCCAGCATGTACTAGGAGCGTATATATACTCCCTCCGTCCCCCCGAAAAAAAAAAAAAAGACAAACCCTAGTTTCCGTGTCTAACATTTGACCGTTCATCTTATTTGAAAAATTATGAAAAAAAATTAAAAAAACAAGTTACGCATAAAATTTAATCATGTTTTATCATCTAAACAATAAAAATACGAATTATAAAAAAATTTTATATAAGACGGACAGTTAAAGTTGGACACAGAAACCCAGGGTTTGGTTTTTTTTTTTTTTTTTTGAGGGAGTGAGTACATGTGCAACGCTGAGATGTCAGGATCCCTTGCACTTAAGCTGACATGTGAGAAGCTTCATTCAACACAGGAGTATATAGTAGTATTTTTATTTTTCTTGTTGGGCCATTTCTAGTTTTCCTTCCGTCTAATCTGTAGAGTACTCCTTCTGTCCAACTAAAGAGTGTATTTGAGAGGAGAGAATGGGAGAAGATTGATGAGTCATTAAGACCTGATTAATTGAGTATATTTTAAATTTAGAAAACATATTAATATTTTTTAAAACAATTTTTTCATAGATTTTTTTTTCAAAAAACATACCGCTTAGCAATTTAGGAAGCGAGCATGCGAAAAATTAGATACTTTTTTTTTGCTTGTAAAGAACTCGGCCAAGAATATAATTCTAGGATTCAAAAGGTAAATTAGTAGGAAAGGTAAAAGACTTTAGGCTTGCAACTTTTCGTATCATTTATCAGATTATAGGACCGGGTTATTAGCCCCACGCTTTAAAAATACATTTAAAAAAAGATTCTTCTATTATATTGTTGTGACCACTTGTTTTTTAAGTTATTTGTTAAGTTTATTTATAAAAATATTTACTTTATCGTTATAATTAAGTAGATAATTCGCAGCAACAATCTACTTAATTAATAGTACTCCCTCCGTCTAATAATATAAGGGATTTTGAGTTTTTGCTTATACTGTTTGACCACTCGTCTTATTCAAAAAAATTTAGAATTATTATTTATTGTTTTTGTGACTTACTTTATTATCCAAAGTACTTTAAGCACAACTTTTCGTTTTTTATATTTGCACAAATTTTTTGAATAAGACGAGTGGTCAAACAGTGCAAACAAAAACTCAAAATTCCTTATATTATGGGATGGAGGAAGTAATATGTTTCAACTGTGCCTGAGATACTCCTCGTTAAATGAGGGATGGTTTTTTTAAGTGTAAGGATAGTTTGGTGAGATGAGAAATGATTCGTGAGACAAGTAGTATTGTACTGTTTGTGGGACAAATTTGAATTTTAGAATTGGATTCTGTGTTAGACCCAGCCTACTATATATCCTGTTCTGTGACATGCTTTGTTTCATCCACAGTTTATGCATGTAACTGAGGGTCCTTGTGCGTAGGTTTAGAAATGGTGCTAATCATGTTACGGGTGACCAGAGGAGATTCAGTTAGATGCCAACAAGATAACGCTGAAACAAAATAGATCGATGATCTAACATGTAGCAAATGGTATTGTGACAAAATAGATGGTCTTTTGGAGCTGAGTGACACTGGTTTCCTGTGCATCACAAAGCAGCTGATGATGCAACCTATTGCCATAAGCACGGTTTGACCGATGAACATGCTTGATCGCTTTGTTATTGGTCTCAGTACGATTGAGGCAGATCGAATCTGACTATCTGAGTTACTCACATGTGCTTGAATTGCTTGATGGAAAGCTGTGCTAAAATGCAATGGAGTAGCCCAACTAATGCGGCAGCCTTTTGATAATCTAGATAAAGCAATTCGATCACATCGGAATTATATATATAGTACCAAACGCAAATGTTCAGCTACAGAGAAAAGGTTATGTGTGTTTGCCTTTCTGAAAAAAAACTTTGGATGTTGCCAGAATTATTATCATTATCTCCGTGGTTTATAAAGCAAAAGGACTGAAATAATTAATCCACCACAAAATAATTGGATGTTCCTGTCACGACAAAAATGGTGTATTATTCCAAACCTGTTCTACTTTCTGGACACGAATACACATCCCTGTCTCCCCAACATGCATACGAGCATATCCCGTGATTTCTTTGGCTGGATGCATACATGCATGCACCAATGAACTTTCAGTACAGATACTCATGGCACATTCTTTGTGATCTTTAAACAATTATTAAAGTAATTGATCACAAGACTTTCAAGATAATTGAAACTTTTTTATTGATCTCAATAAAATATATCAAGATGATACAATTACACCAAGAATACTTTTGGCATCTGCATAATGAATGTTTTCTTTTTTTTTTTGTTAATGTTTCTCATTTTATTAAGTACTCCCTCTGTCCAAAAATATAAGAATCTATTACCGGAAGGGATATTTTCTTGTACAACAAATCTGGATAGGTTGCATGTGCAGATTCTTTGTAATCCGATTCTAGGTTCTTATATTTTGGAACGGAGATAAAAACATCTCTTGCATTTCTTTTTGTTTTACAGGCCTTTTCTACTACGTGAATATTTGCACATGCATGTGCAGTGCAATGATCAGAGCATGTACCACCTGAAAGATTTGAGCACTCAACTCGAGAGCAAATTCCAGAAGAGGCATGCACTGGTGATGGTGATGACTTTACACTGAGAAAAAAAAAAGGGGGGCCGCAAAGCTGACATGAAGCTGTGTAGTGTAGGCTGTGTGATAGCAAAACTCTTTTTAGGTCACCAGCGACGGCAAGCAGGCATAGGTCCATCTGAAAAGGAGCCCTTTGCATTGCATTGTTGGGTCCATTCAGATACATAGCAATACTACTAGTATATGTATTGTCATGACTGATCACTCTTGTGAAGTTGTGATGTATCTTTCGATCGGCCATTCCTCAAGTCTTAGCTTAGAAGTAATTAACCTAGCATGAATGCCATCACTCTCATGATTGAAAGCTCATTGCTTTCACAAAACCAAACTTTACATGCTTTATGCTAACTTGCTAGTATATCCCTTGTGTAAACCAGGTCAACCAAACACACCCTATTCTTCAAGAGCGAATGTTCATGTACATTGTAGGCCGTCGATCGGTTGCACGTGAGTCAGACGATTGGATTGTATACATAGCAATTTCTGTTCTCTAATAAATATACAACAACAGTTGAAACTAAAGAAAATACTTCCTCCGATCCTAAATATAAGCATTTTTCTTGTTTACTCAGATATATAGCCAAAAATAGTTATCTTTGGGAAAGGAGGTAGCAGACTCATCAAGAATTGAACTGTTTTCAGTGAAACTCACATGAAAATGGCTTGTCCTAGACAAAGATTTACAGGTAGGAAGCTCGTAGAAAAAGAAACATTCGGTTAAAAAAAATTCATGGGTTCCAGAAGAGATTAGGTTAGGTAAAAGTAGAGAGTGGTGGCACCCGTGCACAACCTAATCATCCACTGAAGACATCGATCGACACGTAGAATAGAATATGCGTGCACGGCTTAACCAAGACGTTAACATCAGACGGGTGCAAAGAGCAGGGGATCAAACCGGCAGAGGGCTTCAGCCAGGTAAGCCGTGTCTGCATGCAAAAACACACAGACATTGGGCCTACAGGCACTCCATGACACACTGCCATGGCATCGTCTTCTTCCTAATCCCCTGCTAAGTTGTTGAGTACACTTAACCAGCAAGCACAAAAATCATGTTTCCAGCAGCAGAATCAGCAGGCTCTGCACGCATGGTAGTATCTGCCTATCATGCATATGCGTCCATAGTTGTACTATGGACTACTAGGGAGTACAGGAACTGATGGGCAGTGTAGCATGCAGAAAAGGCTTCAGAGAATTGGATTTTAATTTTTAGGAAATGGAAGATGCAGTTGTTACTGTACACTAGAGTACTATACTGCACTGGTAAATACCAGATCAGAGCATCAGTATTCCAGTAGCTAAAAGAGACCAAGAGTGGAATATTTGCTGCTGCAGCATATATAGGAACAAAAGTATACATCATTCAGTTAAGTGTTCAGTCATCCATGAGACTACAGAGGGGAGCAGCAAACTTCTTTAGCAGCAACAGCACATATCATTCTCATTTGGGTATGTTGGCCCCTGAATATTCAGTAATTAAAACCCAAATGAAAATCTAAAAGTTGGCAACATTTATACCCACTTATCTAGGCAGCAGGCTGATCTGACTAGATTGGAAATGAAGCTCCTAAAGCCTGCAGCCATCTAAAATAAGAACTTCATTATTTAAGCTAGTAGTACATTATTATTATTATTATTTCCACTATATCTCAGACTATTAATTTCGGTTAATTGTAGTAAGATTGCATATCAAGCAAGCACAGAAGCATACTTGCTTATTTACCAAAGTTTTACATGCCGCATTCAGGATCCTGTGGACTGAAAAAGCAGGCAATGACCTTGGAGTTCAGCAGCTTCAGTGCAAGGCTAGATTCGATGCATCTGGGTGTCTTGTACTGGTTAATGGAGCTGCCATGGCTAACCAATAGATCCATCAGAGCATCAAATGCACCAGCTTCAACAAGCCGTATCTCCAGAGGCCCTATGGACCTGTCATGGGCTCTGCAACGACGGTAGACGTAGTCCAGTGACTCCTCGACAGCAGCACAGCAGCTCTCGAGGAGCTGAGCGTCAAGAGGGGCCGGCCTTTCATCGTGGGTGGACTTGATCTCCCAGAACAGCACGTAGTGGCCAGGGACAGTGGAAATATCAGTGTAGCTAGTGTACTCCAGGAGGAGGTAATTTTGGTTCTCCAGGATTTTCTTAGCAGTGGTGACACTGTTGTGGAGATCCTCCTCGTTGGTCTTGTCAGAATCGATGCTGAGGATAACATTTCTCCGGCAAATGAATTTGAACTGCGGAGCTCGGTTGTAGAAGCCTGTCACTTGAAGCACATCACCAACCCTGTACCTGTAAAGACCTGGGCAAGACATATGTCAGTTGAAGGACATGTATTTGCGAGTTACTACATTTCCAAATATCTGCAGTGCAGGGGTTTGTAGTTTTATTTTGTTTTCCTGTATGTGAACTTACCACTGCATCTACATATTTATTATGGTGACAAGCACTACTTCAGTGAACATAAATAATCCGTTTCACTTGTCTGATCACTAAAAAAAATTGAAGCAAAAATACCTGACAGTTGACACATATATTGTATTGTGAAAATTGAAGTTTTGACAAAATGATAGTCTATATTAATGTTATAGATAATTTCATGTCAAGAAAATTTCTTTTGATCATATGGAGTAAAAGCTGATGTAGATCTAAGTATAACTACATATGCTTAGTCCAAGAAAATACCGTAATATAACTGCAGTGTTCTTACCTGAAAATGTGGTAACTACAAGCTCATAGTAACATCCAACCTTGACATCTACCAGGCTGACAAGCTTGTCATTCTCTATCACCTCCTCGTGATCAGTCAACCTGAGGCCGTCCTCTAATGGTATGAACTCAAAGTAAGCCATGTTTGGGAGGATGGTGTAAGACACATCAGCTGGGCTACATAGTGGACTCAGATTGACACCGAAATAGCTTTCTGAGGAAGCATACATCGTGCAGACGAAAGGAATCGCACCACCACCATAGAATTCCAGCATGGGGATATATTGTGCCATTGTGCCCGTAAGAACAGCTTCGATATATTTAACATTAGGCCATAGCCTTCCCAGAATCCCCTTCCATGAACCGCAGCTGCATATTGCCTCAACCTGATCAGCTAGCTCTGGGTTGGGCAATGCAAGGAAGTTCAGCATGGCCAAACGGCATGCTGGACTGGTGATACTGGAGTTGAGCTGACCAATTCGTATGTCATTGACAAGGTCACGCCAATGCTGCTCAAGGAAGCTGATAGATCGAAGGAATGCTGAGGCAAAGACTGCCCCGATACGAAGAACATGCTGGCGTTCTACCAGGCCACAGAGCAGCTGGCAGTACATGCTCTGCTGGCTATCAGGGCAAAGAATGACCTCATCAGGACTGGTATAGTTGTTGTATAAATCGTGTTTGCGGTGAAGGAAATGAGGGCTCTTATAGTAGCTAGTGAGGACTGATCGAACTGGAATTCCAGAATCTGTCAGTGTTTCAGCTTTCACAAAGAGAAGGTACATAGCTTTCCCCTCACCAAGGCCTGATATATACCTGCAGATTGGATTATGACATAAATTGCCAGTCCAAGACAAATCTGTCTGGAAACTCTTGATAAACCTTTGGAACTCTGGAAGATATATCTGTGCGCTACTGCTATGGTGCTATCTAACAAATTTATGTACTGGATATTAATACAGTCAGGAACAAAAGCATTTGAGCTAAGTTGCATCTGAGGGTGCCATTCAGTTTAGTCCAAAATTCAGGTACCATATTAAACATAATTACCTTTGGAAGCATTAATAGTGTGGATTTTAGAAACACCAAAACAGCTGTGTATAACAGTTGGTTTCTTGATGTGGTATGAGGTAGCAAATGTATATCTGGCATTGCCTGATACTTTGCTAAAGCAGCAACCAATATATGAACTTATTTTTAAGTTTTTGAGCTGCAAGCAGTGGCATATGCGGTAACTATTGTCCAATACTTTGCGTCTTGCAACTGGAGTACTGGACCCAGGTTGTGTTACTAATGTGAATAATCCAAAAAAAAATGTCAAACAGGAAGCATGCAAAACAACGCCTCTCAGGATCTGTCAATTTTAGGGTCAGTGTCAACAGAGCTTCACAAATGATATCATCTGTTTGAGGCAAACAAAAACAAAATTTGGTTAATGCAATAATTAACTACTTATCTCATTACTTTTGCAAGAATAAGAAGGTTAGAAAATTGCAGAAAGGAGATTAGGCATACAACTGGATCCAGATATTACACAATAATGAAGTTGTCATAACCACATCACAATATTTCCATAAGAAGATATAAACTTACTTGTTCATGATAGGCATGATCAGACTATAGAGGTAGGTTCGACGGTCAAGATCCTTTAAGATGGACGGCATCAATCTTGGCTCACCTCGAGAAGTCCCCGAGCTACAAATTAATTATGTAATTAGCATCAAAAGCACAGTCACTAAGTGAATAGCAAGGCCCTGTATTAAATTCTTTAAACACAATAAGGCCTAATATTAACAGTAATTTCTTTAATGACAGTAAAGAGGGATATATTATAGGGCATGGATCAAACATTAGGGTATTTCTTCAAGAAGCAGATGATATATTTGTAAACTGATGTATCTACTTTTGTTGGCAACTTGTTGTCTATTCTTTTGCAGGCGGGCCCTAGTTGTTTACATAGATTGTGGTTGCTTATGATGAGTATATTCTGGGTCTGGCCTAATGGGAATTATTTCTTACTCTTTCTTCTGCCTGATGCAAAATATGCACATCTCTTCTGTGTGTTCTTGAAAAATTATATCCTCAAAGGTAGGAGCAAGAGAAAATATTTATACATACTTTGGTAATAGAACTTCTGCATTTTGTATGTACTTTGCTAATTACTTCGGTCCTTCCATATAGAGAGGATCACTTAGAAGATCCTGAGTCAGAATAGCTTAAACAGATTGTTATTTAAAAAAATTCGACCGGCAGGGGAATGACCGCCCTCACGGCTTTTCATTTAGAAGAAGCCTCAACCAAAGCGGCCAAGAAAAGCCACAAACCCTGGCCCCACACACGCGGACTCGCCCTCTATGGATCGGTCCTTAACCTGTGGTTTGAGGTCCCTGCCCGGCCAACGAGTGACTTGTTTTTACTAGGCCTGAAATTTGCTCCCATGGGGAGTTGAACCCAGGACCTAGAGGTGCTACTTGAGCACTGTAACCTTTGGCTACAGGCCCGTTCGCAACAAATTGTTATATAGACATATAGAATTTTTTACATTAGCTGGTTGTCAGGAACAAATAGAATACAACATGATTTGAATTTATCACCATCTTAGCTATTTAGCATAACAGTCCCATGCGCCTTGTAGGGTTGACAGGACTTTGCAACACATCTGCGAGAGGAATATCACAACATGACATCCTCCTTTTACAAGCAAATTACTCTATAGAAGTCCTTAGGTTATCCCTCTATTCCAAAATATAAGCAATTCTAGCATTCGAAATTTGTACCAAAATATAAACACTTCTAGCACTATTCATCCTATCAGTCACCTCCCATTCAAACTTCTCATCTTACCCTCAATCACCCTCTCACAACCAACCATTCCTCGTTTAGTGAGGGGCACCAGAGTTTTTTTTTTTCTCCTCAACTTTAAACTCTGCTAAACAACCATTTCGACTACTAACTTACAAGGCAAGTAGCTTAGTATGACCAGTCATTTCTAGCCTAGCACATTCCAAAAAATAAATATAAACAATTTTTCCTAAGCGAAGCTCGGTCTGTGCCTCTGGATTTATGACAGTCATTAACAGCAGCCTAGCAAGTACCAAGAGAACTTATTTTTCTCCCATTAACCACCAAGTGCACTAAAACCAACTTCTATCAAAGGCAAGTACATGTAGGGCCTGCCAGATTGCCAACCAATATATGTTGGTTGCTACTATCTCTACCATACACAGGAAAGAGATGTGAACTGATGAATGCATTGAAATGAGAGGCGCACCTTCTAAGCAGCTCCAAGATATATTCTCCACATAAAATTGAAGATTCCTCACCAGTTGCAATCCTGAGAATGTATGGATGTACCTTATCATATGTTACTACAGGAACATGTCTCTTGAAGGCAGAAATATTTGTTGACCCATTCATGAATTTGCTCAGGTACTCGGTAGCCTGATTCCTCTCAAGGATTTTCGTCAATATGAGCTCTTGGGCTTCTTTGGCATTCACTGTTAACATCTCAAGCTCTTCAAGAGCACCACTTCCCTTGTAGTCTAAGTTATGATCATCCATATTACGAACAAAAGCAGAATTACAGTCAACCTTATTTCAAAAGGGGAGGCGGGGGCTCAAAGTAACGATACTGGGAGCTTGTTTGCCCCTTATATAGTGTGGTGATGCATGGTCTGAGAAGCATATCTTCTTAATATTTCGACTTTATTTGAAAGATTCTGAACCAATACGACGGTGCAGCCTGTGCAAGATGATCCACTTGCTATCTTTCTGGACACGACAGTGTCTCAATTTATGGAACTCCCTCTAGTAGTGTTCTATTGAAAAGTGTAATGTGATGTGATAATATGTTGAAAACTTAAAAATTATATCAAGACGCTGTCCTCCATTATCCATTGCCTTGCTTTGCTGTGTGACGCAGAACTCCACCTGTTTCTCACGATGTACCTTTAAGAAGGTCCCCTTTGTCATGAAGAAAAAATATGAAATATTTGCACTAGTCTTGAAATATCACTACAAACTCCTAGCCATGAAGAAAACATGAGGCATGTAGGGATAGGCAAAAGACACTATACTTGGGTAACCAGTAAGTAAAGGGCAATCTTTTTGTGGTAATGATAGAAAAAATAGGTTGGAAAAGCTAGAACTGAGTTGAAGATCCTAGGAGAGGTGAGTGACAAAAGTGTAAACCTGATCCACTTCCATTTTTTGAATGAAATGTTTTATGTATCAAGAAAAGGTGAATAGTACCATGCCATGGATTGTGGTTAACAAATTAATAACAAATGCACCACCTAGATGAAAAGTTGTAACTTTTAAACCAGTTGGATCAAAAGGACATGATTAACCTCAATCAAAGGAGATGGATAATCTAGCGGAGACTAAGTAACAAAGGTAATAAGAATGCAAACAAAGGGTTGTGGCTGACAGTTATTGGTTCTTCATCCCAGGAACTTCTATTATTTGTAGTGGGTCAAGTGACTGATGCTAACCAGAGTCTCCACTCTCCAGAAGCAGAGACCATCTACAATGCTCAAAAATCATAATATTAGTATTGTGGTCAAAAGGAGTAAACAGAAGAAAAAAACATGTTTACATTGCCACACAATCCCATGGACCTAAGCATGAAGCTGCTGGCAAAAACAGAACAAAGTTTAATTCATGCAAAAAAAAATGTGAACTCTTTTGACTGCAATTTCATATGGAACTGGGCATGGAGATGCTGACAATGACAAATCAAAGCACATAGACCACAGGTAAACAATATTCCAGTGGAAAAAAAAAACATCCACCAAGATGATGAGGCAAAAGGTGCACACACAATAATGATATTTGTCAGATCATGATAAAGTTGTCAATAATGCAACTAAGGAATACACTGCCGTGGTACAAGGTCGCACACAATGAAACACATCAGTAAAGTAGATAATACTGGAGACAATAACATATTTTGTACACTAAAAAAGTTATTCCAGGAAAGTTGTAACAGCATCTGAAGGTTTCGTGTAACATAAGGCGTTAGAAGGGAACAATGCTAGCCTTAGTTTGCAAGGTCCCAAGGTCACTGAATCAACAAAACATACGGCTATAAACAAACACCAAATTCCATACTAGGTGCATCCCCAACTTGAAGCATCCAAGGATGATTCAATAGTAAAAAGAACAGGTTACTCAGGAAGGTAAAGAGCCTGCGCATGCATATGCTCAAAATATCAGTACATCAGCTGAGCTCTACTGACTTACACCTGCTACAAAGGTGGCAGCTGCAGATTATTTCACATACCAATTCCTTTCAATTGAATATCACATTATCACAATAGAAAGCGGAATTCTACCGTACCCCTAGCCATTTTCAAAAGGTGATATCGATGGAATAAACGCGTAGGTGACAATCCCAGGCATCATACTTTCTTTATGATATTATCTAGTCATTTCAGGGTAAAGGCATGCATTTACAGTATGCGGATGCTCGCCGCATATGGTGCACTCCCTGTGGTGGTGCCATGCCCCCTGCTCTTCGTCTATTAACTACCTTCACAAAAAAGGGGAAACGGTGCACATATTCTTTGCTAAAGTTGTAAGGATTAATCAGGAAAGATGAGTTATTGGATCCCTTGTAATATCATTATTGTCATATATCCCCAGATTTCTTTCTCCTTGTCCTTGTGAGATCTATCTAACCTTCTCGCTCCACAACAGAAACTAATGAAAAAAAAAACCCCTTCAAAGTGGCCTGCATCCTCCATGATCTGAATAGCCACATGTGCAAGAAATGAAACATTCAGCAGCTATTATACATACATGCTTCTTGAGCTTCGACATTTTACCAAACACTAAAATGCATCCACCATGCTTCTTGAGCTTCTTAGTGGGCACAGCATTAGGCAAGCAGAGCAATCTGCTTCTTTCAAGGTAAAAAGGGCATATCTTTCCACGTTCATGTTCTCTAGTATAGTTCACTCAAGTCAGCATCACCATAAAGCTAGCGATTACGTAATATCTCAAAAAAATTCTCAAGCAAGCATCTCCTGTTTCCATGTCTCCTAAAGTTTTTGGAGAAATACATCAGAGCTAAACCAAAGGTAAAGCAAAAAAAAAAGTCAATAACTTAAACTAAATTGTAGCACAGCATTAAAAAAAGCTGGATATGAAAGGAGGCTATCATATCGATGTTATTAAGAAGGAGGTGAGTCGATTCTCACGCAGGCCAATCGGGTGCGCGAGCGACGGCGGTTCTCATTGTAGCACAGCATAAAGGTGGGAAAAGACCAAAGAAGGGGAGGCTGAGGGAGGAGGGACACTTTCATGATGGAGGTGCAAGCATGCCTGTGAGGGGAATGAACTGTGCTGAGGCAGAAACAAGTCAGAGATTGGTGCCCCTTTCTTCACATCAAGAACAGGGACAGCCAGGAGGGAGGCCAGGCCCCCTCCCTCCATATCTCATCAGTGGTGTTTCCCCTCCCTAATAACCTAGCATAGCTTCTCTTTGGATTAGGATGGTGGGGGACATCAAAGAATGAACTAACCCTCACCAGCCACCCTGCTAGATAAGAGAGCACAGGACCAGCCTCCTCTACCCCCTACACTCCTACAGGCTACAGTTAGCACAGCACGTCGATTTCAGGAGTGAATTCAAGCCACGCGCGCTTGCTCGTGGAGTCCCCTGCACAGATCCGATCATTGGGCTAGGTATACCTTATCTACTAGGAGCTTCTTTGTGCGCCCTTTCATGGAGTCTCTCTCTGATGAGGAAGCTTCTGCTGCTCCTCCCATGGCGGCATTGTTGAATCGGCTTGAACTCGCCTACCCAGAGGATTTACAGTTGCAATCAGATGACATAAAGTTTATCCCCCCCGGGCGGAGTATTTTACAACTAGCGAGGAATAGCCGCAATCCAACGACTAACTAGCGATAAACCTAAGTAATGTTACTTCCAAAAAAATGTGTCAGAATTTTGCTCACAACGGCGGCGAGGTCTCCGGCTTGCTCCGGCGGCATCCTCCTGGATCGCGGCGAGGAAGGCGGGCGGAGGGATGGATATGCAAACGCAGGCCGGTGGAAGGGAGAGCTCTCGTTGTACGGAACGTAATGCGCGGTGGATGAAGAGGAGGAGGAGCCAGATCGCCACCGGCGGCCGCCGTGGATGGAAGGCGGCGTCGAGACCCCGTCGGGCCCCGAGACCGACGACGACGAGAGAGTGGAGACGAAAGAAGACGACGGGCCCCGTTTGATTCAGATGAAAATACTTTGAAATCATTGGAGTATTATTAATTACGTTTTGAAAAATGTATTTATTTCATATTTAAAATGAATTTACTTCATATTTAAAAATAACTTCTATGTAGAAAATTTCCGTACCAAACAAAAGTGTGCCATGTTCTTTTCTGATCAAGATGCATAGATTTTACCTCGGTTTTTTAAGCACTTTTTTAAACGATGTGTTTTTTTAAAAAAAACTGTCTATACATCAGTTGATTTAAAATATCAAATAAATCTATTTTCTAAGTTATAATAATTAAAATTAATAATTATGCACTAATAATTAGTATTTGAGATATATTAAGATGATGATGAAGTTAGCGCACGCAAAATAATAAAACAATTAGGGCTTTACATCGGTTTCCATTAGTATACTTTTTAAATTGTTAAACGATGTATTTTATAAAAATGTTACTTTTAATTATCATGAAGATTCATTTTCTAACTTTATAATAATTAAAACTTAATTAATTATGTGCTAATGATTTTTTTTTTAGTGTCCTAACTTCATCTTCAACATAAATAAACACCACCTAAAGTTTGCTTTGGTCCAGCCCATCTTAGAAGACCCATATGATCTTTACATGACAAAAGAGTACTTGTCTCAATTTGCATCATCGCAGATAAATACACCCAGCTTAACTGTAATCGGAGTTTAGAATTTGATGGTTTTTGGATCGCGGTGTTTACCGTTTCTATGATATTTGACAGAACAGTTAGTTGCAACAGTTGGAAAATACGAAAACAAGGCACATCGACTCAACATCAAGCCTGGAAGTTAACCACTGCGTATGATGAGGATCTTATACAAATAAGTATATTTTCATCTCAGTTGTATACGATCATACCCTACATATGATTACTTCATCAATTTCAAGATATATTGATACAACTGGTTGATTGTGCTCGTAGAGATACTATATGAATACGAGCGTTTATATGGGTGAGTATGTACGTGTGTATATGGATGTTTGCACGATTGTACATGTTTCAAAATAAATAATAATTTGATCGTAACATAATCTTTTTTTTAGCAAAACAAAATACAGATGCAGAAGCTCATGTAAAACGTGCACACAATCACTTATATAAATACACTGGGTGATTCCCCGTGCTTTGCTGCGTAAATTTCTAAGTAACTTTTAATATTATTTTAATAATCGAGTTAACAATAAAATATATATTAGTTATTAACAATAAATAAAACAGGTTATCAAACTATGTTTAAGGAGAAATACATTTAGTAGACTCTATATGAGATTATAGATAAAATATGATATTATGCACTTTGTTTATATAGATGAATATATGTTAAGGATTATAAAAATGATGGATATATATATTAAAAATATTGTGAAAAATAATGTGAAGGAAGATGATTGAATGTTGATTTGTAGAATTTAAAGAATTATAGATGATGTTGCATGTTTGCATAAGTTTTATATGTAATTATGCTAGTGGATGATGAGGTGATATATTTACATGTTAAGATTTATGATTAATGGATTATAACTTTACACTAATATAGGACATGCAACTTATGTACAGTAGAGAATTTTGGGCTTGGTAGTCATGGCCCAGCAAATTTTGGGCTTAAAACAAATGAATCCAAGTGGCCCAAGTCCCAAGAGCCCAATTAATACCAAAAGTTCAGAGTACTCCCAAAATACATTCCCATGATCTGTGGACCAAAGCACTTTGGAGTATAGACCCCACATGTCAGTACCAAAGGTTCACCCATTCTCCGTAAAAAGCCAAAAAAGCGACGGCTTTAACTCTGGTCCGTCGTTATGCGTACGATCATACCATTCCCATTCGCCACTGACACGTGGGGCCCTTCATCGATAACGAAGCGGTGGGTCCCACCTGCCGGTCAAAGGTAAGAAAGCCTCATTCGAACTCACCGCGTCACCGTGACTTTGGCGGCGTGGTTGTCTTCTCTCTCGAATTAAATAAAAATATTTATTAGAAAATGGCAGACGCATACTCCACCCACGCGTACAAACAGCGAGCTCCTCCACCCCGCGACGCCGCGCGCCTCCGCCCAAAACCCTAGCCACCCCGCGTCGCCCGCCTCGGCGCGCCCAAAACCCTAGGGCATCCCGGATCCGAAGCTCCCGGCCCCAATGGCGTCGCCGGACCTGTTCCCGAACGTCTCCTTCTCCCATGTCTCCGTCCCCGCCGCCGCGGGCGCGTCGACGGAGGTCACCGGCGGCGCCACGGCCGTGTTCGGCGGGGACGCGTCCACCGGGGCCCCGCGCCTCAGCCTCGTCTGGTCCGGGGAGACCCAGGCGAAGCACACGCTCGAGATCGATCTCTCTGACGCGCAGGTATTCCTCCGTGATCTCGATGGTTTATGGGGGGAGGTGGAGTGGGAGTGGCGTGGGCTGTAGGGCGTGGCCGCGTTGGTTCGATTCGATTTCATGGTGGGGCTCTGAGAGGTGCCTCTGCTGTTGCCGTGCGATTGGAGGATGAGATTTTGAGTTTTGCAGATATTTAAGCTGGGGCCGACGGAGTGGCTGTGCGTGAGCGGCGAGTCGGAGGCTAAGGACGGTGTGGAGGAGGTACTCTTCAGTAATTTCGCTGTTTTTTTGAGTTATTATGTGCTTTCGTTTGGTCATAATGTACATTCCTCTGTTGGATTTCATATTTCTGATGTGCACTGAGCCTTCCAGTATATAACCAGTCCAATTCCCTGATATACCACGCCTTGAGCTGTATGCCTGTATGGCTGTATCATGCTCAAGCCAATTTTAAGATGATCTCAAGGTTTAATTGTTGCACGGTAGAGGCATACCAACATTTTTCTTTTAAAAGATGGCTCAAAAGAAGATTCAGTGACATTTTAAATCTGGGGCGAAGATGTTGATATTACTAGTTGAATAACATGACACAGTTTGCATTCAAGTTTGTTGTCGGAACACTCTTTCTTTTGGGGGTCATATCTTCATCCAAATCCAACTTAGAGTCTTAGACACATACTAGTTGAAACACCTAAAGAAAAAGGCTGGAGTGTGATATGATCTCTCTCGATACCATCCTATATGTACTAAAAGCAACTTTCTGAAACTGCAAAGGATATGCTCTATGATTGTGAGATGCGAGACATAACTAGAATTTTCCTGCCTATCTGAAAGTCTGACTTATAGAACTCTTGATAGTCTGCTGCCTATTGTTACGTTATAAAGGTGAATTTCCTGCTGACTGCTGTGTCACACTTCTTTGTTGCCATCTGCTAAATAACTCATCGCATAGACTTTCTGATAATGTTGCCTAGAGGTAAAGGTAATATGACAATTTGTAGATCATTGTTTGGCCTTTTCTGTTGGAACTTTCTTGTAGCACATATTAAATGGCTTCATGTTAACTCTCAATTCTTTGAGGCAGAAGTCATATTCAAGAGCAATTAAGGTTGTTCTTAGGACAGAAGCTGAGAGCAAAGCCTTCTATTTAGCTTTTCAACAATGGAAACACCGAGTGATTAGTGGAAAAGCTGGTTTGTCCTTTCATTTCTTGTTTCAGATAATTCCAGTAGCATATTTTGTTGCATTATTTCTGAGTCATCGGCCCATGTTCTCAATGCTAAATTTCAGATTATCATGCATATAGTCAATTACAGCTCTCCATGTCTGTTTTTCTTTAAGTGCCAATAGCTGCCCTTCAATACCAAGTGTTTTTAAGACTAGATAATGTTTTTCACTTTGGTTTGATATATTCTGCTAGCTCTAGTGCTCTACTATCTAATGAAATGCATAATGCCATTTAACTTGCATATTTGGTCGTGCCTGGTCTGATAAAAAAATAATGCTATTAGGAATTTGTAGAAGTAGCATGTTTACTGCTTTATATCTGCACATCCAGTTTTCTTGAAGGATAACTGTAGTTAATGAAATCAAATTACATCATGCATGATTATATTAATGCATGTTATTTTGGAGAACATACATTAATACTTTGCATCATTTCTCTTGGTAGAACTTGGTTATGAGATGCTCATTGTAGCACACCTTTTTGTGCTTCTCTTTGTATTCGTTTCCTTTTTCAAAAGTGTTATTTGTGACGAAGCAAAGTGGCAACTAAGGGACAACATTGACATGTTAATCTCAAAACTTATGCCAACAGTGAAGCCAGAGTCATTAGCCCTTTTTTTTAATGTAAAATGCCATAGATTCTTATTTCAACATATTGCTGCTTCATGGCAGGTGAACCTTTGGAAAATGGATTAATAATTGGTTCTAAAAGCAAATTTGATACAAAAATTGAGGCCTCATCAGCAAAGATGTATTTCCACTACTATGGCCAGTTATTACATCAGCAAAATATGTTGCAAGACTTTGTCAGGACAGGTCAGTATCTCTGGCCTATTGTCAAAAGAGTTAAAATAATGGCATGAAGGTCTCCTTTCTGTATATATGTAATTAGTTTACAACCTTTTACTCCAGGAACATACTATGCTGCTGTAATGGAAAATCGATCCGATTTTGAGGGTCGAGTTGTGGTTGATGTTGGAGCTGGTAGTGGCATTCTTTCATTATTTGCTGCACAGGTACACTCCAACATTCTCCATGACTTTTCTAACTTCTTGTTTTTTATACAAAATAACAGATGATGTTTTATATGTTAATATCAGGCTGGTGCCAGACATGTATATGCAGTTGAGGCATCTGAAATGGCTGAACATGCTCAGCGTCTTATTTCTGGAAACCCATCTCTTGGACAAAGAATAACGGTTCGTTTATGTGCCAGTTTGGTTTGGAACTTCCAGGCTTCCTTTTTGCCCTAAAATTAATCAGTGTCCCCATCATAACTAGGTCATCAAAGGCAAAGTTGAGGAAGTTGAACTTCCAGAGAAAGCTGACATACTTATTTCGGAGCCTATGGGTATGCCTCAATGATAAACTTTCTGGAGCATTTCTTTTCCCAGAGTCACCTGTGGTGTTCCTGCTTTACATCTTATACCCGTTGCACAATCTAATAACCGATTCATTGTGTTTGTATACATATGGATAACTTTCACACTTTGCAGCTAGGTGACGGATAAGTACTAGGTTGCATTGCCATCTGTTAATCCTGTCAAGAAATTGGCTGTCATATTTGTAGACAAACTATCCGTTGTTAGCATCAATGTTCCTTTTAATGGATTGTATGGGTTAAGCACTGGCCATTGGCCAAATGGTGATAGTATATGCGGTATCCACGGTGTTTATTGAATAGTTGAATACCCAATGTAAACTAGCTAATATTTGAAATGTTATATTGTTGTTTGAATTTTGAAATTTGGTATAGGACAATAAACTTGTTTCTGTATCTGCTTATATGTATTATGTAGTGACTTGTTTTGTCTATAATATTTTAGGAACCCTCTTGGTGAATGAAAGGATGCTGGAGTCCTATGTTATAGCTAGAGACAGATTCCTTGTGCCAGGTGGTAAAATGTTTCCAACAACTGGAAGGTAATCTGAACCACTCTGGATATTTATTGGAAGTTCTGCTTCACAAAATCTTTAGGTGTTTGATTAGGATTGTTCACTAAATCATCTGTGCTTACTAAAACGTCAGAATAGATCTATTGGCTAAGTTTTCCAAAAAATAAACTCAGATGCATGGCTTTTTAAGCTACTTTTGGCATTCACAATTACTCACTGATGCCTGATATATTAAATATTTACTAGGATTCATATGGCTCCATTTTCCGATGAATACCTCTATGTTGAAATGGCAAACAAGGTACAGTATTACACTCCGATGAAATCTTTTTCCTAAGTTTACTGCACAATCTTACTATCCAGTGCTTCTAGTGAGGCTATACTAACCTTGTTGTAAATTACTATGTGCAAGTGGGTTGTGAAAACAGTTGGAATTGAATCGAAAATATTCAAAACTGTTGTCCGAAACCATACTTTTTTTTTCTTGAAATGAGAATACAAAATGGTAATGCCAGAAATGGATATGACATTGGAACTTGTTGGAGCGGAAATGTCCAGAACATCAAACTGTAACACCATATGTTTATGTTCACGCGCTTGACCTAGCAACTACGTAAGATGAGTTCAGATACACACTATACAACTTGCAATTTATTGAACACAAAGTAATGAAATACTCCCTTCGTCCCAAAGTATAGCAACCTAGTACTCGACTAGACACCACTTAGTACTATGAACCTAGACAGTCTTCATAGTACTAGGTGGTGTCTAATCGAGTACTAGGTTGTTATACTTTGGGACAGAGGGGGTAACTATCAATTTATTCTCATCTTTGGACCGTTACCCTATCTCTGGATCAACGCCCATAACATCTGACATCCTATATATAGATATTACTGTTTCAAAATTTCCCTGGTTCTTTAAATAGGAGATATTGAGAAATGAATTCTCAACTTGTCCATGCTTTCTGTCAACTGTATAGCACAGTACCAAAGTGAGAATGTGTCCATTTCCCCCACTTATACCTTGTCTTAACACAAAGATAAGCAGCTCTTCTGTGTATTTTCTGAAAAAAGAAAATGCACACTTATTCCTAGCTTTTATGTGTTTTTAGCACATCATTTGCTCTATGCGAAAATCTCATATTTTCGTATGATGATGCTGGTGGGGGGTTAAAGCCACCTTGTGGTCACTTCCTATTTATTCTCATGTTGTTGAGCAAGTATATTATCCTTGCTGAAAGTATGTTATTTCAATCCTAAGTGTTTCTTTAGTTTGACACATTATATTTTGGTTGTGTGTCTCTGCAGGCTCTCTTCTGGCAGCAGCATAACTTTTTTGGTGTTGATCTTACACCTTTGCATGGTTCAGCATTCCAGGGGTATTTTTCACAGGTATCTCATCCCTTTTCTTTTCAACTTTTGACTAGAAAGTACCTCAATTCAAAAACAACAATAAATAGTTCAATGCACTCTTACTGGCACCTAATCTTTCAATTAGCCACCTGTATTCCAGTTCCAGTGGTTAATGCCAAGAATTGAACCCCGAGAATGGCTATTACTTAAGTAATTCTATATAACCCATGACTGCATTGTTGATCAGAGTGACTACTGACTAGTTATCAAATCTAAACGCCCCTGCAATTCTCATGCAGCCTGTGGTGGATGCATTCGATCCAAGATTATTGGTTTCTCCGCCTACGTTTCATACGCTTGATTTCACTACCATGAAGGTAAATATTTCTTTATTGGTGATGAGACTGAAACTACAGGTAATTTTTCTGTATTGTTTCTCCCTGCAAAATGAAGCATTCTTTTCTTTCTTTGCCAGGAAGAGGAGCTTTACGAGATTGACATTCCCCTAAATTTTGTGGCCTCTGTTGGCACTAGGGTGCATGGGCTAGCTTGTTGGTTTGATGTATTGTTCAATGGGAGGTCAGTGCTATATCGGTTTATTTGAGTCTATATTGTCTCTTGTCTGCTTCTACCCGCTACAATCTGTGTGTTTTACTGCAGCACTGTCCAGAGGTGGCTTACCACTGCTCCAGGCTCCCCTACGACTCACTGGTATCAACTACGATGCATACTTTCACAGCCATTATATGTCATGGCAGGACAAGAAATAACAGGACGACTTCATCTGGTAGCCCACAGTGCACAAAGCTACACGATATACTTGACGATGTCAGGTTGGGCATTTTCTATTTCGTTTGTTATCAGTTTTTTTCCCTCTATTGCACTTGAAGCTGATGGTTCTTGCTCTTTTGGTTATTTTCTGGAAGCTAAAATGTGGGGTGAGGGGGCAGAACAAGGTGGCATCCTGCAGACATCCACAGCCAAACTTGAACTCAAGGAGCCATACTACAGGCTGTCTCAACCACAACCATATGTGATGCAACAAGACCAGCAGCAGCAGCAGTTACCATCTTTGCAGCCACAGGTAAGTTGTTTTCTATTAGGTATTTGAAGAACAACGGGGATGTTTGTTTAATATTTATTTTCATGCAGTACATCTTATGCTTATATCTGCATCTTGCATAACACTGGCAACACCAGAAAAATCACCATATTATGTCTCATTTCCTGCAAGGCACATAATCCTGTACTTGAAGTACCTATGTTACTGCCTACTGTATTTGACTGTATGGAGACGGTTAGATAATTGCTTACTCTGGGCTTTTTAATCTTGTTAGTAATGTGCTTACACAATACAACAAACGCGAGATAAATATACTTCAAGTTCAAGAGTTAATATGGAAAAAATAATTATTATTCTTAATTTTAGAAATTATATACATGACCACATAAACAATGGGGGTTGGGCCCACCATTCGACACAAATGCAAAGAATACATGTTCCACAAATACTCAGTATACACATGCAAAGAAACACATGATTACAAAATATATTGCAGATAACACACATGTACATATAACTAGCCACAGAATATCATAATGGGGGATGGTATTGGTTTTAAGGAGTAAACATCAGAAGTATTGGTATTCTTACCTGAATTACTTGCGAGATCTAATCGAAACACATATATGCAAATGTGCGATAATAAGTTGGTACAGGTATTTTGATTACCAATAGTTATGTTTAATTGCATTACAGAGTCCTCTCTGGGACTATCACTACGGACAAGATTAGTTGTCTGGCCTCAGCTATTGAACATTGGCAAGAATAGCAGGTACACAGTTTTTAGGGTGACATACATGGAATGCTTGTTTGCAAGGCTTTTCGGAACAATAAACTTCATTATAAATTGAATTAAATTTGAAAAGAGTTTTCAAAGGGCATTTAAACTTTCAAACTGTACTTGTTAGCAAAATTTTACTGCTGATGCATGGACTTGATTTTATGTATTTCCTTGATAGATCTAACATTCGTACTGCAAACAGGGATCTGAGCAGCAGATGCAAGATGGTCTTAGCCCTAGTATAACGATTGAACCAGACCAAGACTCGGCGGCCTTCACTAGATAGCTCGTAAGCCGGAGTTGCTTCAGGCAAACAACTCCAGGCCTGTACAACAGTATGCTCCTACCTGATGTTGCTAGGCGTTAGCTGTCAGTGGCTAACATTGCATTCGTTGTGTACGAGAGGTTGTGCAGCTGTAGCTAATTGTGCTCGTGTCTGCACCGTTATTTAAAGGGGGTCAAATACAATAAGTGTATCTGTTTGCAGGAAAAGCTCAACGACAAAGGCGTCTAACTAGAACGATTGTTGTGTATGTTCTTATGTATTATTGTTTTATTTAATTTAAAAATGGTTGGTCGATCAACTGATGGTCTGATGCTGAACGCCGGTGCTCTTTGTTATGTGCCGCATTCGCTTGGATGGAACCTCACGCTCAACGTCTGAGATTAATAGTTCTTGATTAGCCATGAAATGTATGGTGCGAACTGCGAACTATGGTTTTCTTTCGATCATACTGTATACGGAGTATGCTTCTATTGAAGTGGATGTGGATCCGATCTAGATGCGCGGATGGATGTTTTTTCCCCTGACAACACAAGGCAGGTTGTCCTGGCACTGCCCGACAGTACCTGCAGGAGATTGGCGGCTAGCGTGGCTGTGCCTCACTTCCCCTGCCTGCCTGGAGCGCCTTGATGTATTTAGCGATGTGAAACCATTTTCTCCCTGAGTTCAGGATCCCCATCAGAATGGCCATTGAGGAAAGAGAGCAGCTGAGAATTCTTTGCATCACGCACGTCAGTTCTTGATCAGCGTGGCGGCTACGGAAGTACTACTACTTCTAGCCGGCCTGCGTTTTCACCAGCCTACTTCTTTCCATCGATATCCTTGTGCTGGCACCGCGGCCGTCAAGTCATTGGTGAACAACCCCGAAGAATCTGTCTTGAGAAAAGAACACCATCAAATGCATACTCGTTGCTTTATAACTGAATCGTTCAAATCTGCAGCTTAATGTTGAAGCAAGCTAGCCATGGTCACTCACAAATGATTGATAGAAATTTCTAGAAGCTAGAATCGACATCAGCAAATCACCGGCATGACCCACCTCGGCCGTCCATCCTCAACCATCCCGCACACAGATCAACGAGTAAAAGATGGCGCCTGTAGGAGACGTGGACAGGGCCCCGCCTCCACGTGTCCCTCACGCGAGCCACGACGTGGCGGACCCGCTCCAGAGCATTCTCGCGGCCGCGTCCCAACGGCCCAGATCGACCCGCACCCCTCGCATCGGACGGCCGTGCGGAGCTCCTCGTCGCCTATATACCCACCTCCTCCCGATCCTTCCGTTTCCTCCCCGCTTGAAGGGAAAGTAAGAAAGAAAGAAAAGAAAAAAAAAAGGAAAATCGTGTCTCGTCTCGTCTCGTCTTCGTCTCCCCCGATTCCCGAGCAGCTTCTCGAAACCCTCGCGGCCTCGATTCCGGCGATGGCGGAGCCCAACCCGCAAGTGGTAGGCGCGATTCGTTGTGGCTTGTTGGTTTCGAATTGATGCTGGTTTTGGGGGTGGAATTTGGTGCTGATTTGGTTCCGATTTTGGGGGTTTTGGTTTGGTTTGGTTTGGTTTTGCAGGAGAGGGAGGTGGAGGTGGAGGAGGTGAGGAGGCCGAAGCTGAGGTACTTGGAGTTCGTGCAGGTGGCGGCAGCGCAGGCGACGATCTGCCTCGCGGGGCTCTACGCGCTTGCCAAGGACCACGCCGGCCCGCTCCGCCCCGGCGTCGACGCCGTCGAGTCCGCCGTCAAGGGCGTCGTCGGCCCCGTCTACGGCCGCTTCCATGGCGTCCCCCTCGACGTCCTCGCCTTCGTCGACCGCAAGGTAGCCCCAGCCCCCTCTTTCGCCGTTGCTAACGGTTGCCGACTTGGCGTTGTCCCGCGAGACGAACGAGCGGTGGCGCGGCTCGCTCGCTCGCTCGCCGGCCGAGGTGGCCGCGCTTGCGGCGGCGCACGCTAGAACGGGATGGGCGCCGTGCCCTATCTGGCGCCGCTAGATTTTTTTCGGGTGCGGTGCATGATTGCTCCGACGCGGGCCCTACGATGGCGTGGGTGGTCATTTTCTTGGTGCGCGTGATGTAGCTGGGGCCTACAGGGGTGGGCAATCTGTGGTGGAGAATTCGTCCCCGTACGGGATTCCCGTGGTGGTGCATCGAATCCGGCCCCCATGGTAGATTCCTTATTAGATTCCGGCGCATTCTAGCACTTGGCGGAGTCTCCGAGGTGATGAACAGGTCCTAGTTTGGCAGTTGGCAACGAACCTGCCGACGAACTCCAAAGTTGATTCCAATTTGATTTCAGTGTTCTTAGTTGGCAATATAGAATTTGACTTTGAGGATTGGCTTGCAGTAGAGTTCGGTGCTTGTAGGAATTTAGGAAGAACGGTAGAAATGTGGTGGTATAGTCCATTTGACTGATTCCACTCAGTGTTCTTTCTTGTCGATAAATAATTTGATTTTTGAGTATTGCTTCTGGTAGCTTTCGGTGCTAATTGATGCAAGAATATGGAGGCACGGTAGAAATTGGGTTCAGCGTGTTCATTTTAAATTGATTCCGAATTTCCGATTCGATTTCACTGTGTTCTTGCTTGGCAATACATAATTTGATACTGAGTATTGCTTCTGGTAGCTTTGGGTGCTAATTGATGCAAGAATTTGGAGGCACGGTAGAAATTGAGTTCAGCGTGTTCATTTTAAATTGATTCCGATTTGATTTCAATGTGTTCTTGCTTGGCAATACATAAGTTGATACTGAGGATTGCTTGTGGTAGAATTCGGTGCTAATTCTTGTAGGTATTTGGAAGCACGGTAGAAATTATTATGTGTTCTTGCTAACGGAGGTGTAACCATAAATTGCAGGTGGATGACACGGTGCAAGAGCTGGACCGACACCTCCCGCCGACGCTGAAGGCCGCCTCCGCCAAGGCTTGCGCGGTGGCCCGCGGCGTGCCGGACGTGGCGAGGGAGCTCACCGCGGAGGTGCAGCAGTCGGGCGTCACCGGCGCCGCGCGCGTCGCGTACGCCAAGGTCGAGCCCGTGGCCAAGGGCGTGTACGGCAGGATCCAGCCGGCGGCCAAGGACCTCTACGTGCGCTACGAGCCGGCGGCGGAGCACCTCGCCGTCTCCACCTGGCGCTCGCTCAACAACCTGCCGCTGTTCCCGCAGGTGGCGCAGATCGCCGTGCCCACCGCCGCCTACTGGGCCGAGAAGTACAACAAGGTGATCGCCGCCGCGGCCGACAAGGGTTACACCGGAGCACAGTACCTCCCCGCCATCCCCACCGAGCGCATCGCCAAGGTTTTCGGCGAGTTATCGCCGGAGGCCCAGCCGTCGAAGAGCGAGTCGGCGAAGACCCAGTAGGTGAGGTCACCGCGCCTGAAGGTGAGAGGTAGCCTTCGCCTGAAGTCCTGAACTGAATAAGTAAGAGTGGGGCGCTTATGGCAGCAGAAAAATGGTGTTTTAGATGTATGCATGTGACGACATTTTCGTGGATGATGATGTTCTACTTAGCTCTTTTACTTTGTGTTGTGGCGTACGTTTAATCCTCCTGGTTTTGTATAAAAGCTGTGGTTGATGTCGCAATCTTTTAGCTAATCCAGTGCAATTAGGCTTGAACTTTCTGTTGCTATCTCGGTTGCTGTCGATGCAGGTAAGCAGGTTCTATTGGCTACTAGCTTAGAATCCTTTGGCGATTCCTGCCCATTGTATCTGCTAGACTACTGCCACTGCTAGTCTGTTTAAGCTGTAGAGGCTACTAGAGCGCTCTGTTGTGGTGTCGTTTTGCTCCGGCGTCGCAGGTGTCGTATTAGTTCCGATAAAATTATCCGCGATTTGTGTCCTGAAAACGTTGTGTTATCTCCTGTCTGTCTGTCGCTCTCAGAGGCTGCGTCATTTAGAAGATGTACTGCCTTCTTGCTTGATGAAGTATCTTTGCTAAGATGGCGATCGTCCGCGTGTCGTCTGTTTACTGGATCAAGGGAGACCAGGGACCCTGGCTGGACCCCGTGCAAGCCACACTCACGGCACACCCCAATCTCCCTGATAGGGTTAATTTGATCCATGCCACTGCAAATTTGGCTATTCAGAAAAATACCATTACAATTTGTCTATTTGTAACCGTGCCATTGAAGTTTTGCAGAAATTAGAACCGTGCCACTCCCGTCATGATTTCCATCTATCCCCTCCTTTTCCGTCTTCTCCGTTACAGCGCGCAGCACGGATCGCCGCCGCCGCCTCAATCAGCCACCACACCTCGGCCTTGGGCCTTGAGCTCCGCCGCACCGTCGCACGTTGGCCTCGGGCTGTGCCGCCGAGCCGTCCTCGGCTTGCTGCGCCGCTCCTCGCCGGCCACCGCAGGGCCGCGCGGCCACGCCCCACCGCCATCCACACCTCGCCGGCCACCGCAAGGTCGTGGCGCCGCCCAACCTCGTCGTGCCCTCGTCGGGCTGCGCCACCGTCGCCTAGCTTCGTCCGCATCACGCCGCCGGCCATGCCAAGCCAGGAAAGAAGAAATCGAAGAAAAGAGAAAGAGAAAAGGAGAATCGAAGAAATCGGCGACTCTGTCGCAACCTGCGGCGGCGGCGGCAAGCACGGCGTCTGCGCGGCTTCACACGTCGGCGCAACTGGTGGCGTCGTCGCCGGAGACATGGCTGAAGTCGAGCTTTGTGTAGGCTGTACCCCTCCTTCCAGTCATCCAGCACCAAGTAGAGATGGCGTCGGCGCCGGCTGTGCTCGTCGCAGCTGTAGCTATGGAGGCAGCGGGAGTAGTAGTGGCTACCACCTGTGTCGCTCGAGGTGGCGTACGCATGTACGCGACGGCGGCGAACACATGGTCCGGCTCACGCCGCCGCGAGCGGAAGCGGAGACGACGAAGCCGTCGCCGCTGCTGCCGACTGCTCGCCGGCGGAGAATGGATCGTAGCATGGAAGCTAGATCAATTTTGTGAAACTAATTAACTCGTGCAATTAACTCGCCGGCGGAGAATGGATCGCAGCATGGTCCATCGCCGAGCTTAATCGCCGCCACTGCCGACGCCCATCTCCTGCTCCCGCCGCCTATCTGCGCGTCCACACCTCACCGGCGGCGTCGGTCTCGGCGCTAGAGCCAAGGAGGCGGTGGTGCGTGGGGACGAGGCCGTGAGGCCGGTGGAGGAGGGCGTGGGGTTCCTCGACCAAGGCTGTCAGCGGCAGCCGCGTGCGGTGGCTGACTGAGGTGGCGGTGGTGCGCTGCGACGGAGAAGATGGAAAAGGAGGGGATAGATGAAAAATGTAACGGGAGTGGCACGGTTCTAGTTTTTTAAAAATTTTAATGGCATAGTTACGAATAGACGAATTGTAATGGCATTTTTCTGAATAGCCAAATTTGCAGTGGCATGGATCAAATTAATATGGCTGGGTACCCGGCTCCATTTGCCTTCAAAAACTCCGAACGGGCCACTGGTTTCGGTCCGATCGAGTTGTCGGCCCAGAGCCCCGGAATCACGGAGTAGGGTAAGCTACTGGCCCAGTGGCCTTTACAGGGCTCCACTGTAGGAATAAGTTCACTTGACGTCCCTCAAATTGTTGCGGAGTGAAATTCACTTAAGGTCCCTCAACTCCGGAACCAGTGCAAATAAGGTCCCGAGACGTTTGATCAGTGGCTTAGGCTGATTTGGTGCCTACGTGGCACTTATCAAAAAAAAATATGGGACCCACATGTCAGCGAGTGTACGCTTCAAAACAAGAAATGCCGTGGGACCCACCACACCCCTCTCTTTCCTCTCTTCTCTCCTTCTCCCCCTCTCTCTCTCGTTGGTTCCCCCGCCACTCTACTCAATCCACCTCAATCGTCGGCCAACCAACCGCCACCGTCGAACCCTCTCACCTCCCCACTTTGGGATTCTGGCCTTTGCCTCTCCGGTGTCCAAACCTACCCACCCACCACCCACCCCGATGTGCTTGCTTACCGCTCAGTTCCCCCAACCCCTGTAGCTAGTGTCTGGCACCAATGTCCACTCCCCTTCTAGCCTCTGCAGCAGCTGTTGTCCCAGAAAGGGAGAGAGAGAGGAGGAGGAAAGGGCGGCGTGCGATGATGACAATGAGGAGGATGACTTGGGCAAGCCAGAGATCTGCTGCCAGCACTCCCAAGCAAGGTCCACACGCAGGTCGGCGCCCTCCACCGGTGCTTCTCCTGGCACCATGCCTACTGCACCGCCGCCAAGCGCGCCACCAACGTCCTTATGGAACTCGCCAAAAAGGATAAGCGCACCCATCCTGAACCCTCGCTGCACCGCGTCGATTCGCGGTTTTCCATGCCTGGCTTCAAGTCATGAGCTTAGGGGTTGAGGGGAGGGGGGTTTTGGATGTGTTTTTCCTTTGCAGAGGAGGTTGCGAACGTGATCATAAAGGGCAGCGCCATGCCCGCCTTGGTGTTCCACCTCAAGGGTCCACCCGCCGTGGTGGCGATGTAGAAAAAGCAACAAGCTCGGCCCATTCAAGCATGAGAGAGAGGGTCGCAAGTTACCCTTCTCTTCGTTGGGCGCCGCCCTCTACGATATATTGGCCGCCCTCCTCTCCTGTGGCCACCAGCCACCGCCCTTCTCCTCGTCACCCATCACGTCATTCTTTCTGTCGGTCGTCGCCCTAGAGGGGATAGGGAGGAAGGGAGAGGGAGAGGGAGAGAGAGGAGAAGAGAGAGGGGAAGGGAAGAGAGTAGTAGGAAAGTGCTAGTCAATAACATGTGGGCCCATAATGATCTCGCGCTGACTTATTAGCTTGCCACATCTGATTCGCCTAGTACTTTAGGTGATCCAGTTTTACAAATTGAGGAACCCGTTATATCTTTTTTTTTGGGGCAATTGTGTTGTTGACCCTGTTTTGATACCTAATTTCCAATTTGACCTTGTTTTTTAAAATTTGCTCATTTGACCCTTTTTTCACAAATGAAGATCAAACTTGACCCTATTCTGTAAAGGCAATGTAACGGTGTTAGTTCATAACAAAAATGCCATTTATGCTCTTACTTATTTGACCCTACTTTATTAAAAGATTTTTTTTATTTTTCTAGGTTTGACAAATCGATGTTAGATTTGACAAATTTTGACATGGGTTTGATATAGGTTTGACAAATTGTCTTAGATTTGATAAAATTTTGCCAGCATCAAACTCAAACTGTACAAGGGAAAAAACACATGTAGACATGTAGTTATGGCATGCCCGAAGGATCAGGCTCGACGGCCATCTCCCACATCCACGTGTTGTGGCTGCCGCAGCTCCTACGTGCCGCCGTGCAGCAGCAGCACCTGCGCGTCGCTGTCGCAGCTGCACCTGCGCGTCGTCACCACCGCACGTCCTGCCGCCGCCGCCGAAGCCCTCACCGCGCGCCGCCGCCGCAGCCCCCTCCATGCGCCGCCTCCGCCGAACCCTAGCCGCGCCGTTGAGATCTGAGAAGACCTGGGATGAGTGGACGGCACCGGGTGAAAATTTTGGGGATATGATTGATTTTGTACTCTGGGGCATTTTAGTCAGTTTAGAATATAAAATGATTTATTTTCTGTTTCGTAAATAAACTTTAACGGTGTAGTGAAAACAAGGTCAGACGGCAGTTCCGATTTTAAAAAGCAGAGTTAAATGGGCAAAGTTAAAAAATTAGGGTCAAATTAGTAGTTAGACTTCAGAATAGGGTCAAATGAGCAATTGTCCTTTTTTTTTGTTTTAGGGATAAATTTCAGATTGAAAAAAGTACGAATTACTCCCCGAACTATTACGGTTGTACGATTTACCCCCTAAACTACAATACCGGACATTTGACACCCCCAAACACTTAAAACTGGCTAAATTTCCACCCTAAGTCGAAGCGGTTTTCAGCTTACGTGGCACACACGTGACGATACAGTGAAAAAAACAAATATAAAAAGGTGGGGCCCAGCTGTCAGCACCTTTTTTTCCTCTCCTTCTCTTCCCCCTCTCTCTCGGTGAACAACTAAACACTGCGAGCGGCGGGCGGGCGAGGAGCCGACGCTGACGGGCGGCCGGCGGCGGGTGAGGAGCTGAGGCTGGAGGTTAACGGGCACGGAGGCGGCGGCGGGCGGCCGCGGAGGCGGCTGCGGACGAGGAGCAGACACCGACGGGCGGCCGACGGCGGGGATGGCTGCGGACAGCGGGCGGGCGAGGAATCGACGCCGACGGGCGGCCGGTGGCGGAGATAGCTGCGGACGGCGGGATAGGAGCCGAGGCTGGAGGCGGGCGGGCGCGGAGGCGGCTGCGGGCAGCGGGCGAGGAGCCGAGGCCGACGGCGGGCTGAGCAGGCTGCGCCGATCCTTCATCCCGCGAGCTGAGCAGGGGGGCGCCGCCGTCGTCTGTCCAGCTGCTTCCGCCGCATCCCGGTGAGCACCCATCCGCCACGCACCCATCTCCACGCAGGCCGGTGGAGGAGTTCGTTGCCGCCGTGGACCTCGCCGGCGAGTGGCGCGGCGAGAGATTCTTGCCGGTGATGTTCACCAACGGGTGCTCCCTGGTGGTCTGCTGGAGATGATGAGGACGACGAAGGTGATCAGCGGCGGCGGATACGCACACAACGACCCGGTGTTCGGCCGCCACGGCGCGCTGTACATGGTGCCGTACGTCCGCCGCGACATGCTCAT